AGTTATTTCATAACTGCATTTGAAGTCCTGAATATTTCCTAGTAATATATATTCAGTATAAGAAAAATATATTAAAAATAAAGTATGTATTTAAAGTATATGTAATTGAATATAAGAAAAATATTTTTTGATTAAATATAATGTTTGACGATTTATTTAATATGAGATAAGCTCTTTAATACAAGATTCTTAATATAATTATTCTATCACGAGATAATTTACAAATATAAGATCCGATACAAATAAAAAGATCTAATTCAATATAATTTGAAGACATATTTTTAAACATATATATATATTTACCCTATCAAAATCAATTGTATGACTAAAATTTATATTAAACTACCTTTTATAATATTTTATAACTCATATAGCTTATTACGAGGATCATAAAGAATTAAGAGGATTATAAAGAAAAATGTGAAATTTATTGAAATTGAAGTAAAAATATCTGATTAATAGATCTTTGCTACAATGTATATTTTAAAAATAAAGAATATTTCAATTAAAATGATTTTTAAATTACTTCTACATTATTCATCAATTTTTTGTATGATACTTAGTTTGCCAACTAAATATATATTGTATTACTAATTTTGTTTTAAATAATAAATATAAAAAATATTAGATGACATAAAATATAATAAAAGAGCACAATTACATGTCGGCTAAGGTAGTCAAACAACTTTTTAGCTTGTAAGATATTTGCTAAGAGAGCATGATGTAATCGGATAATTGAATGAAACGATAAAGATCTGAACCGGTACAAAAATGACTCTTTAATGTACGTATTTTAAAAGAGGGAAGAAGGAACAACCAATAAGAAATATAGAGATGAAACAATATTGCAATAATAATTGATTTTTAAAAATAGTTATTTAACTCGGCATGATTATTGTCGAGTGTATGAAAATTTTTCATGAAATCGTTCGAACTATATTCAAATATATAAATGTGTAGCTGTTATTCGTGGCTTTTTTTCGTATAATAAAATCATACTTATGTCAGCAATGCAATAGGTAAATAGCTATTGACTTTTGCTTTTCATTATAAGACAAGTTGAATTTAAAATATTTTTAGTTTAATTATTAAAAAAGTTATAGTTGGTTCATTTATTTTTGAACTTTTAATGAAATGTTGTATGGAAATATATTAAACGATCGCAATTTTAAAACAGTATTAGCTGATAAAATAAAAAGGAACGTAGAAAAATATTTAACTTTGTCCAACTGACATATTAATAGAAAATTAATTAAAGTTGTAAGTTACTTTAGCGTAAGGATTAACTTATTTTTCATAAACATATATTTTCATAAACATTATGTATTATTATTATTTAAAAACATAGCATATAAAAAATGTTTAGAAAGTATTTGTCAATGTAATTGTAATATAATGTATATATATATATATACGCTATGCTACGAATTAAATAATAAAATTATAGAATCACGTTTAATATTTCCATTTTTAAATTTTATGTATTACTCAAATAAAATTAAAAATATATTTCTATAAATTTTTTTAGCATTTTTATATCAAAATATTCTTATTTTATTAATCACAATTCATTATTATTCAATTTATTATTAACTTATTTTAATAATTTATTATCATTAACAGCATAATTTTCCTATTAAGAATATATTAAATTATTATAAGAATATATTATATTATTATTAAGTAAATATTAATTTTACTTGTTAACTCACAATAATGTAATATAATTTAAAATTTATGAATGATATAATGTCAATGTGAAGTTGCCTTAAAAAGCGAAAAGGTGTTTCTTTCCTTTTTACATTTAACGTCAGCATCAAACCGGAAGATAAATTATTAAAATAAATAATTAAAGTTTTTCATTTCAAAAATTAATTTTGATTAAATAGAAATTTATATGTCGATATTAGACCACCTAGTGGCTTTTTTTGTACATGTACCATTTCAAAATAATATGAATTAACTGAAACTGTTTAGAATAATTTATAATAATAGAATTATAGAATACTTTAGAATTTATTATATAATACTTTAGTACTTTAGAATAAGGTCACATCGATTTATAATTAAAATAGAAAAATTAATTTTGTTAAACTCGTCTAACTGAAATATAAGCAAGTGCAAAAGGTGTAGTTTATTGATTATAAATATCTTGTAAAATGGACGCAACACTTAGAAAATCTAAAAAAATGCTAATCGTCAAACAAATACTAGTAAACAAGGGAGCGACCAATAGATCGTGGACTGTATTAAAGTGAAATGCAGCATATATAAATATGTATTATATCTGTATTCTCGGTATTACCATTGCTCTAGCAGCATCTTAGCATTGTTCGTAGCAGCATCAACTGATAAATATAGAAATAGCAAGTGCTTCTATTCAAGCTACACTATCCACTTACACCCCACTCGAATTACACGACGAGCATTGACTTCGATTACAAATAGAATATGAAATGAAAATTGAGTAAGAGCGCCGAGTTGGTTCTTTGAACAAGCCAACAACAACGCAAAACATCTGAATAAAAGTAAAAGGACTCACCAGGAAAGAAGCCTACAGGCTTGGAAGACATTCTCTTTCCATCACAGAGGTGAATCCATCGATTACGGCTGGCAGGTGGGAAAGCTCCGCGCAGAACGAAGCTCCGGATTTCCCAGTTCGCACACAAACGAGCTTGATCAAACTAGGCCCACTCTTATCAGCACGCACGTAACTTGTTGACAGTATTGAGGGAGGGCGGGAGATATGCGGCGAGGAAGGATTAGGTAAAGGATACGAAGATGTGAGGATGATGCAACGTCATGAACGCGTCGGTTGGCGCGAGCTTGCGCCGGAGACTGCGGGCTGCTGCAGAGTTACCGCGGAGGATGGCTTTTCCGCTATTTTCCCCGTGGTGCGCTGTTACCGCCGTGGGGAGAGAGAGGGAGAGAAGGAGCTTGCGAATCTTGAGAGCGAGAGACGGATTGCGATTGGCCGAGCGATCGATCGGCCCGCACTGTTCATTGAACCCCCTACGTAAGTAGTATATGCACGTTTTCCTTTCTTCCTCTTCATTCCCACTCGCTCTCTTTTTCACTCATCTGAATTCATCTATAATACACACGCGCGCACGCGCGCGCTTGCTTGCTTGTGCATCTTTCCTTTCTGTTTTAATTACAAACGTATGAACGTTGATTTTTAGCGTTAAGCAGCATCCGCAAATTGTCTCTTTGATTTTTCACATAAAACTGAATATCCTATTTTGATGAGCATGGAGCTTTGTATTGTGCTTTTGCATATTGATTTTCGCTTCATTTTTATCTTTTAAAAACATAAGTACTTGGTAGTTATTAATGTTCCAAAATGAACTTCTATAAATTTTATTTTTAGTATTTGATGAGAATGCATTTGTAAAAATCCAATTATAAAATTTAGTAAACATAATAAAATGGTTTTCAATTAAGAATTTTCAAAGCTCTTAAATTAAAGCTACTATTAATGAAATTAAGTAATTAAAAAACTTATGTTTTTCTATTTAAATATCGTTATCAATAAATTTTTGATTTTGCAATTACAAAACCCTGAAAAGAATTTTTAATAAAATTTAAATAAGGATCTTACTTGATATATTAATTCTGAATCATAAAATGAATACTAAAAAATGTACAGCGATGTTTATAATTTTCTTTGTTTAATTTAAAAAATAGTTATCGTTATATAATATGACACTTAATTTATCTTTGATACCATATTAGAAAAATTTCTAATAATGAATAAATTTAATGTTAACTTCGAATGTGATAAATTTTCAAGATATTTAAATTTAATTAATTATAAAATGGTATAGTTACTCACAATTCTTGTTGAGTAAAAATACACTTTCGAAAGAATTGCTACATATAATACGAATGAATCCTTTCAAGCTCCGAATGGATATAAAAGTATAAAGAAAATAATAAGTTAGCAAGTATCATTATCGTTACTATATGTATACATGTAAATTTGCACATTATAAATAAATTAACGTTAAAAAATGTTGCAAGAAGTTTTTTTTTATATAAAATTTATAACTAAACATAAATTAAACATTTAATGCTAAGTTTTAAGTTAAATTATAAAGTTATGCAGCAATAAAAATATAGCTTCGTTATTATTGTACAAAAATATTTAGTATGATATATAATACTGATTAACATAATATATTTTATTAATATTAGTATTTATACTTATATAATTTTTATAAATATTGAAGATTTAGATATTTTAAGAATTACTTGTAATAAAAAATCAAATTCACGTTTATTATAATTTTTCAATGTAGACAATAACATTATATTTTTTCATTTTTAACGATATATATTGATTTATATACTATATTAACATTGATATTTAATAAAAACAATTGCTTATAAAAATAAAAAATTATTGTTGATTTATGCAAGTTCTTTTTATTAATGTATGACAACGATTGTAATATATTTTTAGCATCATATAATAAATTTTCATAAAAATTTATCTTTAACAAATAAAATGCATATTTGTTCAAAATTATATTAATAAATAAAAAATATAGATTTTATTATACGAAATACTTTCTAACATTAAATTTGCTTTACAGAAATAAAGTATACAAATTTGCTATTATTTTACAACAGATTAAAAAAGTATTTAAACATAAATATATATTTATTAATAAAAATAGTTAAGTAATTTTAATTCATAATTCTTACACCATAATAAGTCATTTGATATTTTATTAATGAGAAAAAATATTAGCTGATATACATGAATATTAATCTTTATGTAATGAAGGTAAGCTTTAAGTTAGTTTAATATTAAAGAATAAATAAAGTTAAATAAATATTGCTATAGATAAATATATGTTTGAATACAATATTTTATTATAACTTTTTAAATTTAAGATACATTGATTTTAAATGATGAAAATTGCTATTTTATAAATATATGTAATTAAGTATTTATATTTTCATTGTTTTTCTTTTTCAAATAAAATAAATAATTCCATTTAAATAAAAGTACAATATAAAATAGAGTTTGGTGTAAAGGGTACTAAGTATGTATCAAAACTTATCAATTAATTGAAGAATATGCTGCTGTTGAGCTTCTTTCCATTCAACATCTCCATCATCTCCTAAGTTTCCTGCATATTCTATAATTATAAAAAAAATGTAATCAAACATAAAGATTAGAAGTTAATTACAAAATAAAACTAATTAAAAAATTTTAATTATTTTCGAAACCCGTTATTTACCTCGTACTATGTTTCTAATAGTTTTAAGCGAGGCTCTTCTTTGAGTTAGAATTCTTGTAACTCGTTGTTTTACTGCTGGTGGACATCCAATGCATGCTTCAAGTAATATATAGTCTACTAACTGCAACGTAAATAGCCCTCCATTCAGTCTTTTCATTAATGTCTCTTCTTCCTCATCATCTTCCTGTAAACAAAATAATATGTTTATGTAAATAATATTATAAATTTATAAACATAATTATTTATTCGATTGGTATAAATATAAACAACCTTTGCATTTTTCTCAACTTCTTCAACTTTTTCAAGATATTTAAAGTGAAGTTCCATTAATCTATCAACTTTTTCATAATCATTTTCTGTAAATTTACTAAGTAATCTTTGCCGTTGCTGACCTTTACAATTTCTTAACATACTAGCTATAATTGATACTACATGTTCTGAAATATAAATTTATGTGTAATATAAAGTTATATAGCTCTTGTTACTAAAGGCATTAAAAAAAATTATGCTCCCACCTTCATGTTCTTCTGCCGTAACTATTTTCTTACGATTTTTAATTGGTGTTTTCATAAAAAGTGGAAATATAGTCCTAAGCCCAAGAATATCTACAAATTTACTGCAATTATCTTTGCCATCAGGTCCATTCATTGCATAATCAAGAACCTAATCAATAATCAATTAATATATTAATTTATTAATTCAAATCATAAAAAATATTCCAATTAAATGTCTTTAAGATAACCTTAAGAGAACCGTTTCTAGACATTTTTTTTTCACGCAACATAAGATTCATAAGTTGAAGTCCTTCACCACGTAAGAATCGTTCTCGATTGACAGTTTCCATTAAACTGGAGCATAAAATATCAAATAAATTTTCCATTAACTCTTGCTCTTCAGCTGTTTGAGGATCATGTCTTTTATAATACTAAAATAAATAAAGATTAATTTAAAATTTATACTTTCTATTATTTAAATATATTTCATTATCATACGGCCAATTGTTGAAGAAGAACATCGATTCCATCAAAATCTCCCAGTAGAAGTCTATTTTTTTTAGTGTTTTGAAGAAGAATAGACAAAATTTCACTAGCATATAATTTATTTGTATCAAAGGGAGTTTTTACTTTGATTCTTTTTAAGAGCCATGTAATTAAACCTTGTTTACCAGCGTCCATACATAATTCTAAACGTGTTTCAAGTAAATTTTCAAAAATAGCTGAACATAAATTTAATAATATAATACAATATAATAAATTAAATTAAAAGAAATAAGATCAAGTTCTACCTAAAGTGTTAAAAACTCCATCACTTTCCTCACTTACAGATTCATCAAGTCTTTCTAAATTCTGTACAAGAAGAGCAAATACTTGTTGTCCTAAAAGTGCATCGATCAATGAATCAGCTTCTTCAGGTGCTTCATTATATACATCTGATTCAGTAAGCTCTTGTAATAAATCTACTATTCCTACTGCTATGTCAGTATTTTCATGAGCTAACAATTCTAATAAAGATGGTACTACACCTAATTCAACCATTAATGGATATAAATCAGGATTGGTTGCAATAGCATGCAGTTCTTGTAAAATGTCATGAAGTTCCACTTCTGATTCCATAAATTTATCTGGTTGATCAGGAAATTTTACTCTCATTTCCTGATTTCTCAGTGCCCTTTTTTCAAATAATAGAATCATTCGTTTCAAATTAGTTTCATCTAAAGCCTCTACTTCAGCAGCTTCAGTTTCAACATATTTTAAAATATCTTCTTTCTGCTCTTTAGTTAATTGAGGTTCAACAACGTCATTCTCTGGGGCTGGAAGCGCTGCGCGAATAGGTGTTGGTGGTTCACTTACTCTTACTGGAGTAGAATCAACTACTTTTGATAATGTATGCCTTTGGCGAGCGTGATATGGTGTTTTAATAAGCTTTTTTGATCTTTTAGAATCCCAGTCATCTTCATCATCATCTTCACCTGGAGCTGATCGCTTGGGGGTATTTGGAGGCTAAAAATATAAGTTGAATTTTGTATAAATAAATTATCTACCTACTAACCTTAAATAATCTAACTAACCTTATAAGATAATAATTCTCCAATATCCATTCTACTTTAAAATGAAAAGTTACTTAATTAAAAAAACATTAAATCCACCTTTTGTAATTAAAATATTTTTTTATTTTCAGATCGTGGTATAAATATATAATTCATGTTTTATTATACTTTATCAAATAAGAGTTTGTATACGAGTGTATATCCGTCCATTGCTGGCGTATCTGGAAAATAAAAAAAAATTGAAAAGATGCATTAGCTCAATTAATTTTATTTTTAGCAATAAGAATATAAATAATTTATTTTACACTGTATATAATTATTGTTTAAAAAGCAAAAGTTGAATATATATTAGTGCAAACACTCAATTATCTTAAATAATGTGATGAATAAAATAAAATTACAATAATGATTATTTTTTAAATTCATTTTTCACGTGCGCATGCAAGTTTTATATTAAAATTAATTTGTTCTTAAACGTTTTTTATCGTAGGATAACTAATCATTATAGACTTTTAAATTCTTTTAAAGATCTAAAGATCTACATAAATAGATTATATAAAATTACTTCGTTATTTCAAAAAATAATAAATTTGTTTTGTTTCTACCTTCAAAATATCTATATATATGGTTTTTTAATAATTATAAAATTAAAAATAAAATTAGATTTGACATTTGTCGATTACTATCGCACAAACTCGATTATTTTTGGATACTACATAACCAATTAAAAATGTTATATAAAGTGATTTATATATCCATGTAAACATATATGCATGCATATGTACATATTATATAAATTGCATAAAATTAAATATCCAAATATGCATTTCATACATTTCATAACCATACTAATTACACATATTAGATTTGATGAATTCGGATATACAATATAATATGTGTATATATGCATGCATATGTTTACATGGGCAAAATGCATATGCATACTTGCGTACGTAATTAAACTTGTCAATCGCTACATAATTATTTTACATAATGAAAATAATTCTGTTTGTAAGTTATAATATTTAGTTTAAAAAAAAATGTTGTAACATCTTATTATATTATTAATAATATTTAGAAATAGATTAATGTGCGATAACAGTAAATAAACAAACAATCTTTAAAGCACTTATAAACATATAAGACAATGAAATAACCATGATTAGGTATTAATATTTTTCGATAAATTGTATAAAAGGAAAGAAAAGCTTGTGCATTAGAATTAATGGAATTCAAGATTTACATTAAGTTATACATTATTAAGTTTATATATAAAATAAGAAAGTGTATTCGTATTTGTATATAGCTAATTCTTATAGCCTCATTTAAAATTGAATACTTAAATAAATTATAAAATTTTGAAAACAATGTAAATTAAATTGAAATTTAAACTTTATTCAGACATTGAAAAACTATTTACGTAAACATGGAATATTGTTTTGAAGATGTAAATAAATTATAGTTAATAATTTATTTTTATACTCAATATTAAAATTATCAGTAGTTCAATTGTCAAATGTGTATAACCAGTTTCAAATTGATACTTTGATGAACATTAAACATATATTTTTATTATAATTTTTATTATGCAATATATTTGTATATTGAATTTAATTTTTTTAACATAATTTCAAATTAATTTTGAATAAATTCAAGTATTTGTCATGAAGGTGTTAATACAAAATGGAAGTTAAAAAGGAAATACAAAGTGTCATTTTCAATAAATTAAACTCAAACAATCAACAAAACAATGTTCAATATGTTTATAAAATATATGATATAATAATCGTTACTTGCAAAGTTTTAATAATTACATTTATTAAATGAAAATTTGTTAGTTACAAATGTAAAAGAAGCTTATCTTATTTGATTGAAAAAGAAAGTTTTAGATATTGTGTATCCAATGACGTAATATATTTACTACAATTTTCTGAATCAATTGACTTTCAAAATCAATTATCTTTGTATAATGGAAGTAAATTATTCATTACTTTAATTTCTCAGTCACATATGCAGTGCCTTAGTAAACGTCGATAGCAAAAGTAGTGATAGTGTAGCTTATCTAATGAAAATTTGTACGTTTACGAATTTTGTGTTTGGTAATAATCTACTGTGTTAAAAGGTGCAAAGTTAAATCTTGTGTAATCTCTAAATTGGTAAATAACCAGAAAATATTTAAAAAATATATAAAAAAAAAATGTATTTAAAAAATGATAATTAAAAAATTAAGTTTATTTTAAATGTTAATTATTTTAAATATTGACAAAATATACTTATTAAACTATCATTCTAATAAAATTTCATTATTATATTATATCATAAACAATGCTTATATTTCTTTTCAAATAATCACAAAATGTTACTATGGTGATATTTCAATCACAATTACTTATTAATTTAAATTAACGATCATCATAAAGTTTATAAATATTTATGTTTTATAATAGATCATATCGTCATCTTTTTACATTTACACGCATTATTGCATTTCTATTTTTTCTTAAAACTAATATTAAGGAAAATTGAATTTGATACGTATTGATATAAAGTTTGCTTAAAATGAATAACTTATTTTACATGTCTTTTTACCCTAAAGTGTTTGCCAACATTGCCGATTTCTAACTCGACTATGGGTGATAGATATTACTTCAACTAAATCTCTGTATCGAACGAGAAAAGTTCAATATCGTCAATTTTTATTATATATTAATATATATAATATATACATCCACTGTTTCAAATGCTTATTAATAGACTAGTTTCTTATTACTATTTTCTTTATTAATTAACCATTTATTTATTAACATTTATAAATTCTTTATTATAAGTATCTAATAATATATAAATAATATAATATAGTATAATAATATAATATATAAATAATATATGAATATATAAATATTTAGTTGATTTATCTTTAAAAGATCAGTTTTATTTTATTACATTTTACCTGTATTCCGCAAATCGTTTTTTATTTAATATTTAGGATTTTGTTTATAATTAGAGTTCCAATGAATTATTTTATAATTTCTTAATAAATTCTGTTGTTGTTAATATATATATCTTTTGTTTAAAATATCTGATATAATCATTTCGATCAATATTAGTTCCTTTTTGGCTACGTTTTAATGCATATTAATAGTTTTTGTTAAATTTCATTGGTTATATAAGCTTAAAATTATAGAAAGAAAATTGTATCTTGATATTGAAACAATTCGATAAATTATTTTTATGTTAATGTATATCAAATCAAAGCGATTATTTAAAAATAATAGTAGAAATAGATAAAAGTGGAGAAGTACTATGCTAATTGTATAATTATAGTTAAGTAATCTTTTGGAAAATTAAAATAAATAGAAATGGATGACTAACAAAATTAAAAATGCACTATTAAAAATTTAGGCTTCTTATTTGGTTTATTATTTTTACGTTGGTTATTTATAAGTATAAAAGTTTTTCCAAATGACTCCAATTTTCACAAATAAAAATGTATAATTTGGTAATTTAAAGCGAATGATCCAATAAAAAAAGAAGAAAGAGTTCGTTCGGCTCGACAAATGGACCGAAGATTTTGCAGCAGACTATCTTCGGTGTGATCGTCAGACACTAAAATATAATGTATATATTCTAATATAATGAGCGTATGTTTAATGATTGGCGATACGTAACGATGCTTCCAAAAAACGCCAGTAGCGTCGATATACTTATTATGCCATCGAAGATAACCCATATGTTCAGGTCGATAGTTAATACTTGCCTTCACGATAATCCCATGTATATTATGCAAGGTCCGCGACAAATCGTATCAAACGGCGGTCACACAATGTGGAGTATTCCAGCTTCCCACAATTAAGCGATGTAGTATACCAGCAATATTCGAGTAGATGCCGCGTCGGCATCATACTATTGAATACCATGATATGGGGTAATGGTGATTGTGCAGTATTCGTAACTTGTGAACATGTATTATGCATTATAATATATGGAAAAATATTAACTTCATATGAGTTATGATCTGTGCCGTGTTAGTGTGTTCTAAATGTCTAATATCTAAAAATATTCTATAATACAATATTTTATAATACTATATTTTAAGTATTATCTCCTTTTTCTGCAAAATATGATTTACAGTAAGGAAATATTTTATTTCAATATGTTACACTACAATAATTTATAATTTGTTGCTCAGTCTAATAATGTTTTATCATAAATAACATCAAATATTTGCTTTTATTTTTTTCTAATTAAACATAGAAATATTTTGAAATTGTTTTTTAATATAGCAGAAATTAATATACAGAAAGTTGACACTTTTATTTTTATTTAAATAGTTTATTGTCATTTTGTTATATATTTATTTTATAACTTTCAAATTATATTTTTTGATTAATTGACATTCGCTAAATGTCAGAGTATATCACATAAGCATTAGAATTTAATATAAATATTAATTATTATCAATTTAAATCTGTAAATTTATAGCTTGTATGGCATTATGCATATATATGTACATATAGAAGTAGTCTAAATATTTTATATGAAAACTTTAATCTAGATTAGATTCAATTATTCAATCCCAATATTTTTTTTATCAATATAAATTTTTTCAATTATCAATGTTTATAAAATTTTTTATGTATATATGTATATATATATATATGCATATATAAATTAAGATATAAGATATATTATTTCGTTTAAAATTCAAGTTAGAATAATTAAGAAGAGATAGTAATAATTATTCGATTCCTATAAAATGTTATCTTCTTAATTTTTTGATAAATGATAGTCTATACTAATATACTTTTTATCAATTAATTTTTATTACAATTGATGGAATTAATGCCAATAGGTGATCTTTAAATTTACTCTTTCAAACGTATAATCAATATATATGCTAAAAATAATAATCATCTATATCATATACTTCTATTTCAAATGACATTTTTAATATATGTTTTCAATACAAATTAACTATTATAATTAAATGAATAATCAGAATAAATATTTACGGCAGTTTAAATGTTTTTACAGTATTTAAAAATGAAAGTAATCGAAAATATTTTTGTTATTATTTGGAAAATCGTGATAGTATTATATGCATAAATTAAGTTCAATTGATACAAAATGCATTCATTTTTATTGCCATAAATATTTTATAATTTTCTATTATATTTTTTAAATACACACTTTATTATTAGCGATAATTATTCATTTTACCTACGCTTGCTTCATCTGAAAATTTTACTATTCTTTTAGTTATTAAGAAGCAATAAAACAAATTGTTTAGAACTTTTGTAATTTCTAAATAAATTATCCTTCTTTGGTCGTTTAATCTACTATTAATATTAAAATTGTTAACTAAATTATTTTTTCATATTTAAATATGATATTTTTCTTATATCTTATAGCGAGATGTTTCTTATTGTATTGAATTTTGCAACAGTTTGGACATTTTCTCTTTCAACTGGTAACGTAAGAAATTAGAGCACCTGAAATTGACAACTCGTCGTGTTTTCTGCCTGTAATTAGAATATTTATTCGAACATTATATAATTGGCACTTATACAGAGGTATGTAATATATTTAAAGTTCAAATTATAGTAGAATGAAACGCTGCTCATATGATTATAGAAAAACCTTTAAATGACAAAGTATAACTAAGCACTTCTGATTTTAGAGGAACCCTTGATCTTATTCATATTTCTACGGTATTAAATTATATTATTTATAGAATCTTTCCTTATGTATTTAATTTTTTTATATTTTTGTATATTATTCGAAGTGTAATTCAAAACATTTTTTTTATATAGTTCATAAAAAAAATAACGTTTAACGATGTGTTATTTGTATTTGCTATTTCACTAATTTCATTCTTGAATTAACGTCATTTAAAGATTTAAATAAGACTAAAATATGAAAAAGTTTAGAGTATGATATGAAAACTATATAAAACAAAATTCCAATTAACAGAATAATTTACGTTTTTAACTGCTACATAATACATAGAGTGCAATTGTATAAATTAACATTTTCATTTATATTAATGTTACAAGTGTTTTCTAGATTTTCATTAATTTTAATTTCTTCAATCCTTATTATTTTACAACTATGATATTTATATAAAAAGGCATACTTATTTTGTCTTAAAGATATACAGTTTTATAGCTTTTAAAAGACGTTTTGTGCGCGTGTTAACATGAAATTACTATCATTTTTATATAAAACGTTATTTAAATAGTTTTTATTTATATTTAAATGATATTTAAATAAAAAATAAGATAATATCTGCATTAATACATCTCGAAAAAAATTTTTCTTTGATTTCTATGATTAAATAGTGTACATTAACTTTGCTGAATAAAATGAAGTTGCTATCATTGGCTTTCATTCTATAAAATAAAATAGCATTGAGAACTTAGTACTTCAATGAATGTTCAACAAGCTTTATTTCAGTTTGATTTTTTACAAATCTATTAATGGTCCATAAATTAGTTAAGCAAGAAATAACTATGAAGTTTACAAGGTATGGTAGTAATGCATTTGTGATAATATGTTTTTCTAAATTTAGATTGAATTTTTGGTTATATATTACATAATCACATAAAATCGCCTTGTATTGTAATTCCAGGAAATAGTAATTGTTATCTAATTATAAACATACTCAAATAATAAATGCAGGAAAGACAAATATAAAATATAAATTCAAAAATAAATAAGCCAATATTAATTGTGTAATTTTATTATTGATAAGCTCACATAATATTTTTGAAAATCTTTATCATCTTTATTTGTAAATTACTAATAAAAAGATTAATTCTTTTATACTTAATTACCTTTATTCACGAAATACATATATTAAAAATATAAAGTAAATATAATTCACGATATTAAATTTAGTATTTTTATATAAATATTTTTACATTAATTTATTTAGAAATGATGACTAAATCTTGAAATATTTTATAATTTTTAAAGTATATATATGTTTTAAATATTAAAACAGATATTTATAAATATTATAAAATATATGTAGTTGGAATATATGAAATATCATCTTTAATTACATAATTATTAAAATAAATTCATTTAATCACAGACAATAAAATTTAATAAAAAAATATAAAAACATTTATTTTAATAATGTAAAGAAATTTTTTTTCTATTATGTTTCATTAATAAATATTTACAATAAATTATATTAATCATAATTATTTTTGTGTATATTTAATTTCTTTTACTGTAGATTAATTTTACAAGTGATTCATTCCTGTATGAACAATGTAATTTTGCTTAGTCAAGAATCAGTTATTATTTAGAAATTGCTTTGTACGCATAGATAGAAAATTTTTATAGCAAAATGTGGTCTTTAAGAAATAAAAGGGAATTATATAAATAATACATCATATATAAATAATTTGCTACTACCAATAATAATAATAAATAGGGTATCAGCCTTGCAAAACAAACGTAATACTAAGTAATAACTAATAAATATACAAGCAACTTACCTGTTATTAGCTACAATGGTACCTGTCATCATTGCTGATTTTTGGTATATTGGAGTGTAAGTTTATAGTTTAAAGTACTTTCATGCATATTTTTTATTGATACATAAAACATCGACTTTATTATAATTGAAGAATTATCACTAATTGTGACTCTTACTTAACTTTAATACAGCTTGTGAAATTGCTTTATAATCAAAGTCGATGACGTTTACTATTCTACCTATTGACTTAACATTTCCAACTCCTTTCCATTATTTCTTTGTCTGTTTTAATAAATTCATTCATAATTATCAGTGTTGTTTGATAACTGATAACTAATTACACCTCCCCACCCAGACACATAACACACACAAATATTAAAATTTTTTAAATATTTTAAACTCTATGTTTAATAATAAAAATTTTCTATAAAGGGCATTTTAAGCCATCAAGAAAAAAGAAATTTGAATAAAAAATAACACTATTTATACTATAACTTACTTCCTTAATATACATTATTATTAAGAATTTGAAAATAAGTTACAATTTTCTAGTCACCGAAGAAATGTTTCTTAGTTATATTTAGTCTAAAGTTTTGCAAAGCTAAGAGAGCTTAAAACTGATATATTTTGATTCATAAAATTTCATATAAAAATATTTATGGAAAAACAGTTTTTTCCTTAGAGGGTTTTACTAAATATATATTATTTTGTAAAAATTATAGGAACAAATTTTCATAAAAAATTAAAATTAATAGAAAAATTAAATTTTTTTAAAACAATTAATGTAATGTAAAGTTTAGATTGCTAGTAACATGATAGAATTCATTGTAATAGTTGAATAGTGTTTAAGTAAATATCTAATAAAGAAAAAATATCTTAACATAAATTTTAAATGCAAATAGAAATGTAGATTATATACAAATAAATGTACTAATGAGATAGACAATTACTTATTAATGCAATTTGTATCTTTCTTTCTTTGATGACATGAAATTTTTAAATTAACTTGTTGCAACACTTTGCTTATCAAAATTTTCAAAATGGAAGTAATAAATTATAAAGTTTTAATTTTTTTTATTTTAGTAATTGATGTTTTTTATATGGCATGACGTAAGATATTTTTATTTTGTAAATTGACTGTTTTTAAATATGCAATTTACATTGTATACATAAATTTTTTGTGAATTGTTACCATGTTTATATTGTTTTTTTTTTATTTAATGTACATTAAAATTATGTCTAATTATTAAGTATTTACAGATTTTTATTATGGATTATAAAAGTATCGATTTGCATCTACATTTTTTTACTTGGATTACTTCCTCTTGTGTTTCGTTACTCATATCAAGTACAAAAGAAAATATTATTTTTAAACTTTGGTAAGCAATTTTATTTTATAAATACAGTGCTACAGAATTAAAAAATATTTATCAATATAGACATTAATTCAGGTAATGCCTAATAATATTTACATATTTAATTGATTTAGTACATTGGCCACTTGGTATTGATCTTTCTAAACCCGAAACAGTTGGAATAAAAGGTGCAAGAAACTTTTATTTAACTACAGATGAGAATGTTAAAATTGGAACTTGGTAAGTAAAATTTTAAATATCCTCAAATTTTTTATAGTAATTAAATACAAATTAATATTGATGTATCTTATTGATGTAATTTGAGATTACATTTTAAATATAAGTATTAATTATGATAAAAAATTATAAAATATTATATAAAATAAATTTGCAATATAATATGGTAAATGTTCAAAATTTTAGGCAAATATTGCCACAATCTTTAATAAATGAAAGCCTTCCTGAAAGTGAAGAAAGTTACGAAGCATTATTAAGAAATGCCACTAGACCAGTTTTTTTGTATATGCATGGAAATAGTGGTAACAGAGCTAGCAGTCACAGAGTTGAACTTTATCAATTATTTCAAAGACTTAATTTTCATGTGATATGCTTTGACTACAGAAGTAAGTATAATAAGTATTTATATAAGTATACTTATTTATTTACTTTCATAAAAAGTAAAATTATCATATAAATTATAGGCTATGGTGATAGTGATAATGTTGATCTTTCGGAAATGGGAGTTATTAATGATAGTAAATTTGTACTTGAATGGCTCATAAAAATTGTAAATAATTCGGCTCCAATTTTTGTTTGGGGTCATTCACTTGGTACTGGGTAAGTACAATAACTGTAATAATACTGGGTTTAATAATAAATGTCAAATTTATAAATCTTTTCATTAGAGAACTTTATGATTATATATGCTTTAATAAAATTAAGTAATATTGACAAATTTGACATTTAAATAATGATATAAGTAGTTTCACATGTAATATTATTTATATAATATACCCAAAACACTTGAAGTTTTATTATTTGCATATACATAATAAAATATAGCTTTTGTTGTTATTAATTAAGTATAGTACATTATTTAAAAAAAAAATACTAGTATCAATGTGAAAGTATCAAATAGACTAATAGAAATGAATAATTAAAAATTAATAATGTAAAGATTATAGTATAATCACAGATTAAAAAGTAATGTTACTTATAGTTTTCTGAATTTTTATGTTAATTTTAATTTCAGAGTATCATCACATGTACTTGCAATTCTTGCAAGTAATGATGTAAATCCAGCAGGATTATTTTTGGAATCTCCATTTAATAATCTTGCTGATGAAATTACAGAACATCCATTAGCTCAAGTATAATATTTAGTTTTAATTCTAATGGAATTAAATATAAATTTCAATAAGATTTTATTACAAAAAGATTAATTTTTATTGTCTAATTTTAGATATTTAAACATTTACCTTGGTTTCATTGGGTTATTGTGCAACCTCTTTATAATAATCAACTCAGATTTGAATCTGATAGGCATATTGGTAAAATCCAATGTCCAATCATGATTTTACATGCTGAAGATGACAATGTTGTACCATTTTCATTAGGAGAAAAAGTATCAAATATTTATTTTACCTTTTAAAAATACAAATATGGATTTAAAATTAATTAATTTTTATACTGATTTATTTTTTATTATATAGCTTTTTAATGCTGCAAATGAACTACATGGATATAACATAGAACAAATACAAATGACAAGAATAGACTCTTCTTATGGACTAGGGCATAAATATATATGTCGATATAAAGACTTACCAAGAATAATTGAGTATGTATAAGAAATTGAAATTGAAAACATATTTAATATTCATCCTTCTAATAAATACTAAATAAACCTTATTTATAGAAATTTTGTAACTCAATCGTCAAAAAAAGCAATGCCGAATAAAAATTAGTAATATTTTATTCAACTTTGAAATCTGGTTAGTTTTGTTCTTTAATGTGATTTTTATCTATGAACAGAAAATCTGATAATCAAAAAAGAGTATCAGACAATATTCATGAAAAAATCTGATGTGATATACAAACAGTTTATATTGATGAAGTATGCTCCAGAACAAATGCTAATAAAAACAAAATACACAAAAATATATAAATTAAAATTCCAATATCACTTTTCTATAAATTTGTGGAGCTGTGGTCTATTATATAGTTATTAATCATTTATTAAAAAAATCAGGATTAAGACTGATACTTTTATAATATCTTTTACAATTAATTTTTGCTTTAAAAGTAATAAAAAAATTCGTATACAAACAAATAAAACATCTAAAATTAATAATCAGACTTTCATTTATTTTTTATTGATAAGTAAAATTACAGTTGATTTTAAATAAATTTTCAATTACTGAGTTATGTTTAGATTTGTTACTTATGGTAATGCTTTTAACAGTTATAAAAAATTAATGAAACTATAATTAATTCAAAAGATAATATTTTGTATAATTATAATGTATAAATCTATTTATAACATATTTTGTATCTACTTTAAATACCGAAAGTAAATTATAAAGTTCTTTTCTATGCAAATTATGTACAATAACGTAAATGTTGACTATACTAATATGCAAATCATTTATAGTTTTGATATTGACCACCATAATAATTTTTGAGAATCTTTAAAAAATTTGAATTTTTACCATAAACAAATTAATTTTAATGCATGAATATTAAAAATTTAAGTAATGAAAACAGCGATAAAAAAAAGTTTTAATATATATACAAAAATAAAATCATTAATCAAAAAGCAATTGTATCTATGGAAATTTTCAATAAACTATGTATTAGATGTTTTATAAAATGAATTCTCTCACTAGAATATAGTATATCATTCTCATACAATAACATCATTCATTTTAATTTAAATAAACCTATTACTACATAATTTTATGACAATAGTTGTAGTTAAAAAACAGTAAAAATAAACATATATTAATGTTATACTATACAGTATTGAATGTAAAACAATTTTTTAGTGAATATTAATTACTCAAGACATTTTTTGAGCTAACTTGTGTGATCTTGTGTATAAAAATATAAATTAATAATTTTAAGTTACTGTTCTGTTAATATTAAAGTTTGTGTCACTTTCTTAATTGTCATATTTATCTATTTATAAAATAATTATAAAATGTAATATTTAATTTTGTAAATGTATAATAAAAAGATGGTAAATACATTTACAATTCATTTAAACAACCATACATTTTCCTATAATTATATATATATACATACATATGTTGGTTTTATTTATATTTGAAATTATTTTAAATTTAATTTAAATTAAGTATGAAAAGTTTGAAAAAAAATTAAAGTAATAAAAATTTGATAAAGAATTATGCGCTTTATATTATTTTACATCATGATGTATTACAAGTTGTGTATTTCAGTTTAGTTTTTATTAATATTGTTTTTCATATTAAATTAATAATATATTTGTAATATATTAATTACAATATTATTTTATATACTTATCAAAATTAGTTACATTTTTTTATACAAATATTATATAATGGTATTTTATATATGATTTATGGATAGGTTAAATTTTTATAAACAATTTATAAACTCAATAATTCATTTTTAACTCCTTACTTTATAACAATCATTTAAAAATGGTTTAACATAATATTGTCTATGTGCTATAATAATAATGTAAAATAACAATTTTAAAATTTATTGATAATATATTTGATTCTATAGTAGTCTTATTATAAAATTAAATAATTGTCCTGAAAAGCCCGCGTTTTTAAAATCACAGATGGTGTTGCTATCGTAAGTTCGTTCAATTAGAATAGGTCTGTAAGCACATGAAATGTCATCTAGATGAAATAAGTTATATGTGTGCGGTTGTGTTGGTTCTCCTTTTCTTTCCTATGCGCTATGGGTGAGTTGATATTGTTTAAGCACGTTTATAAAAATCCGTATTCATCCGTGGTATTATTATTTCTTACAAAAAAAGATTGCATTCATGCAATTTTTTGAGTAATAATTTATGAATTTTAATTTGTATATCTTATTCTTTTTCTCGTTATTTATACAAAAATATTGGTTAACCGCAATTTTACTTACTGTTACTAGATATTAATAATGTATACGTATTGTGATAATATTAATAAAAATATACTTATTTTGTTTTATAAAAAAAATTTCTTACATTCATAAAGTTTTAGCTTTACACTTAGTTTTCCATAAAATATAATTCTCAACGAAAAGATTTCCGGCTAAAATAAAGTTTGTTATTTGTCATTTGTTTATTTGTATTATTATAGTATGATTTTATTGCAGGTATTTCCCGAGATCATTGGCATAAAAGGCGAGCGACAGGTGGCAAAAGGAAGCCTCTCCGTAAGAAGAGGAAATTTGAATTAGGTCGTCCAGCAGCAAACACAAAACTTGGACCTCAGCGTATTCATACTGTACGTTTTTTTTAATTGGGTATATTATTTTAATTAGTTCCCAATTAATAATTTAGCCCTGTTTTCATTTTATAATCCTCTTTATTATTAGTTAATTCAACTAATATAATCAATGAAAATGATGAATTCCTTACCTACTCTGAGTGTCATGACGACAATTTCCCACAGCGTTCTGAAGCATTTTTTAAAAGAATATTTAGAAATTTATAATATCCTTAAAAGCTCAATAAACATTATTATTTCTGTTTAAAAGGTACGTACAAGAGGAGGTAATAAAAAATATAGAGCATTGCGACTTGATTTTGGAAATTTTGCATGGGGATCTGAAGGTAGAGCACAAAAAACCCGTATTATTGATGTTGTCTACAATGCATCAAACAATGAATTGGTAAGAACCAAAACCTTGGTTAAGAATGCCATTGTTACTATTGATGCAACGCCATTTAGACAGTGGTACGAAGCACATTATGCTCTTCCATTGGGACGTAAGCGTGGAGCTAAATTGGTTAGTTTTATTATTTTGTAGTACTGTTTTAGGAACATTTCATATTAGAAAGTATGCTATTAATTTAATTTTTTATTTTTATGTAGGATAATGTATTGTATTTCATATTTAAATACAATGAAAATATAAAAAGAACTTAATTACATAATCATCTTTAACATTTGATTCAATATGTTGATTTATATTCAATTTTCATTATATTTTTATAGACTGAGGCAGAAGAAGCTGTTTTAAATAAAAAAAGATCAAAAAGTGCACAAGCCAAGTACAAGTTAAGGCAGAAATTTGCTAAAGTTGAGCAAGCTTTGGAAGATCAATTTGCTACTGGAAGAGTGCTTGGTAAATATGAACAACATTCATTTCAAAGAAATTTTCAATTTTACATTTTCACTTTATTAGTTTTTGTTTTTTTATGATTATTTTCTGGTAAAATAAAATCAATAAAAATTCATTTAAATAGCATTTGGTGAAATAAATTTAAAGCTCTTTAATGTTAAATTTGTGTACAATTTTTTTAATACTTAAATGTTGGTACTTGACTGAAATTAATATAAGTATCAATTTATTTTATAGCTTGTATTGCTAGCAGGCCTGGTCAATGTGGAAGGGCTGATGGATATATTCTTGAAGGCAAGGAGCTTGAATTCTATTTGAGAAAGATAAAAAGCAAAAAGGCCAAATAAATTTGTAACAAGAAAATGAATAAAACGCATACATAAAAAAAGTTTATTTTTTTTTTTTACAAATACAATCATTTTCCAGATATATTTTATGAACTAACAGACTATGTTTAATAATTGATTATGAATAAGTTGTTACAAAGCAGTATACATTTTTTTAATACAAAATTTAGTACTATAATTATAAACTATTCTGTACATTAAAAAAAACTGACAAAGTGATAGGATGATATTTATAACGGAAAAATGGTTTCAGTCAGCTCTTTAACATGAAGTTTGTTGTTTATGTTAGAATTTCGTTGTGGATGTTATTCTGAAAAATATTTAACAACACATTACATCTAATACTAAAGCAAAACAAAAATACAATGAAATATTGCAAGGAACGTTAGTGGACCAGTGAATGTGCTTATAAAATTTTAATGAAATATACAGTTATATTGTTATACCTGACAGTCCATGAATATTTCTTGCAATTTCAAATTGAGCTTAATTTGTATTTTGCTTTGATGAACAATAAAGTAGAATAATTCTTAAATTTATCAGAACAAGGATAATAGACACTTGAATGCAAGTAAGGATAATAAATCTTTATTTTCATAAAAAAATTTATCAGTTTTAAATGCATATTTATGCAACTAGTAAACTTTTTAAAAATTAAACCTACATATGCATTTCACAAGTTGACGAAACATCCGTTGAGTAAATACGTTCTTAAGGTAAGCGTACAGTGAAATTTCAAAAATTATTACTACTAGTTTTGACATAACCTTTATGATACTTTTATAGCTTTCTAATGATCATAGTATATAAAGCTTATTATTACGTTTTTATAAAAAAAATCCTTAAATTCACATAAAATACTGAGTACCTTGTACATAATTTTGAAAATAGAAAAAAATGTTACAATGTTCAGTTATACAGTATTTTAATCCGAGATTTATAAGAAATTTATTGTACTTCACTTAAGACTAATTTAAAGTTTAATTTGTGTCGCTAATATTAAATGTTACATATATACTGTGGATGACTGTGGTGAATAGCTTAGAACGACATATTTTTTACAAAGAGAAATAATGTGCTTTATTATTCATTTATAACAAATATGTCTAAACGCAGAAATTATATAGTATATATATTTCACGAGCGCGTCAAAAATAGAAAGTACAATACAGGATTAAAAACCAAAGATTTTTCGCGATTTATTAAAAAGCTACAAAATAATCAGAAACTTGTAGATCCACTGAATCGTTCGTAATAACGAAAAAGAGGAACATGTAACATCTATAGGCCCACCTTAGCACTTATGGAGAATAATAGAATTTAAAGAAGTGAAGGAAACGACATTTACATAGAAAACCGGCTTTCATTCAGACTAGAGTGCGCAAAAATGCGACTCTAGGTTCTCCTCAAAACGGACATTTGTTGTGGTCTATTTATCACAAGCTTGGGCATCACCTGCTGCTGGCCTTTGGACGAAGAGCCGCTGTTGAACGACTGGGAACTTCCCCTCTGCTGGTGATGATGATGTTGCTGTTGCTGTTGCTGTTGTTGCTGCTGTTGATGATGATGATGATGATGATGATTTTGCTCTCGTTGTTGTTGTTGTTGTTGTTGTTGTTGTTGCTGCTGGGATTGGCCCTGAGACTTTTGGGCGCAGGTCGCCATATGCGAAGTCCAATGTTTCTGCTGGCACGGATAATCGCAGTAGGCAGTGTTCCAACAGCAGTAGAACATTGCCTCACGGCCACATACCACGCACCATTGTTTGCGTTTCGTCTCCTCGATGCAACGCAGCTTGTCGATCTCGGCCTCCCGGCGCGCGTCTTGCAATGCTCGGTACCGCTCGACTTCCATGCTCGCTTTCAAATCGCGGATTACAAGTTCTGCGGAGTAAAAGAAAACGAGAGTACGGTTATTTATCATTTGATCATTGATTTAGACAAGCTTTACAATAGTCATTAATACAAGAGGCTGCAAGTACTTGATATAACACTATTATAATATTTTGAATATAGAAGCAAGGTCAATGATTGTTATTCTTTAAATTATCATAAATTAATTTTTCTCATTAATTATTCCTGAATTTCTTTATTGAACCTTGAAATTGGCTAGACATAATTACCAAGTTCTAATTTTAAATTCATTATAACATTTTTATAAAGCTATTTAAAAATACGAAATTTTCGATATTACGTTTCTCATATTTCTTTTAAAAAATATAAATGATCAATATAAAATATATAATATAAAATAAAAATATACTTGCTTGTCTATCCTTTGACTTCACTATAATTATACATATATTTTCATACAATTTGTAATTAAGATTTTATAATAAAGTATATTTAATTATTGATACGAAAAGAAAATAGTATAGATTACATGCAATCTGTAGAATCTAATTGGTATAACAAATATACTTCCTTACTCAATTGTGAAAATCGATACTCAAACAACTGAATTCATTAAATTTGAATATATCAAATCAAACCAAAATCAATTTCTTCATTTCATATTTTCTTTATGACAATTATTTCAAATATGAAATATGAAAAATGACTTTAAGTATATAAATATGAAATATGTTAAATTAAAATAAAAAAACGAAAAATAAGATAATTATTCTAATTCGACAGAACATTATTGAGAAGTTAAAACATATTGGAATACATGTTAATATTTATTTGTTTGATACAAAAGTTAGTAACTTCTATGTTGAATATTTATAACTAAGAAACCTATTAAACATCAATTTTTTAACTAATTTCAGATCTCATTATAAAATATTGAGTAATAAATAGAAAAATTGATCATCATTTATAATAAATTCTTCGAGCAAGCTAATTTAATAGTGTTTTTGATAATTGAAATACATTTGATTTTCACTTTTAAAAATGAGGAAGACAGACTTACAATTTTCCATGGGAGAGAATATTTGTTTTATTTTAAAGAAAAGCAATAAAATAAATGGAAGGAGTAGTAGCAAACTTTATTGCAATTATAAACTTTTAGCAGTTTATGTCGATCATTGAAATTTGGTTAAATAAAAGAAAAAATGATACGTTATGCGGTTTAATATTTAAAATGATCTAGTCTAAATCTCGACAAATTTCTTGTGTACTTAATGTTTTTAAGCACTTAAATTCAAAAGCCATTCGTATTCTTTTTTGTTGTATATATTCGTAAATATGTAAATATGTTTTTGTACTTTTATGTACATAAAATGGTGGAGGAAAGAAAGTAAATGAAGAAGTAAAGGAATGAATAGTGCAATTGCTTTGGTAAGTAGTTAACTCACCGTTATTATGCTTAATCTCAGTAATCTCCTGTTGGTGCTCCCACTTCATTCTTTCCATTCTAAGTTTGAGATAATGGATTGTGGCCTCGTGGTGATCGAGTACGTTACCCGTACCCAATCCATTACTCTCCGCCGCATCCTTGATCGTGTCGGCAACGAGCTGGGCTACACGGTTCGCCAGATCCTTAGAATTTTGGTAAATTTGGGCGGTTGCGGGTCCTGCCTCCGGGGGTGGTAACTCGTACTGACAAGGGGGACGCATTTCGCTGCCTTGCGGTGGAATGTAGACCATGGCGTCACTGGTGTTCGAGCTACGAGGATACGAGGTGCTTGGTGTCATCACTTGAGGAAAGCTGGGCGGTTTGTTTGGAAACGACTTCCGCGCCTTGCTCGGCTTTCTCGCGATTGTCAACTAATGTCATGAAAAATATTGTGTTAATGAATTATGAGAGTTGGGTTTGAAAATCTCAATCGCTTTTATTTTGTATTAATTTGAATATTTGTAGATCAAATAATATTTTGAACTTAGACAGATTTACTTCGTCAAATTACTTCTCAATATTCAACATGTACGTAAGTCTTTTTTGAACAAACATATCACTTTATATTATTGTATTAACCCACCATAAAATAATGTATACCGTAACGATAAGCAAATTTAACAAAAGTCTGCAAAAAATGAAAGTGAAATTAGAATTGTACTACGTCTTTATGCTTATTGATTACACAGATCTGCAGCATTATGGCATCAACATTTTTACTTTTTACTAATACATTCTTGAGTTATAAGCTTTAATATTAAAGAATTAAAAAAATAAAATTACATAATGAGTAATAATGTTAATGACATTTTGAATTGTTGTACATTAATTACGTTAATTACATTCAACATTCGATTTAAATATGAATGAATATAATGTCTATTGGTAACAAAACTAATGATGATAATAATAACATACGAAGAGTATGTTATCATAAATTTAAGTATGTAATCGAAATTTGTTTTTCAATAAAATTCATGTTTATCATTATTATAAACATTATTAACAACGTATATATAATTACGTTATAAATAGTATAATTTACTTATATTTAATTACTTTGGGTTGCATATCATCCTTTGGTTCTTGTTTGATTATCGTCACAGCAGAATTTAATCTTGTTTCCTTGTCATTGAAATGCCTCGCAGATTCCGATGTATTTGAGTTTATCGCGTGATATATAGTTTTCGACTGTTCCTTTTTAGCCGATACAGGTATGGTGGTCATAGGTCTACTGGTCAACGAATCATCTTTATTGTTTTTTTGAATATTATTATGAGAAGATTTCATCGACTCTTTGTTCACTTTATGCAACATTTTATGCACCGTTTTATTTTCTAGGTGTGATTTTGAATTCATTTTTGCATTAGCAGAAATTACATTCGAAACTTTTTTTAAATTCGATTGAATGTAAATAGTCTGTGGCTTCTGCCCTGATGTATAAGTCTTAATATTTTCCATGTGATGTTGCAAACTGTTTGAGGGTGTTGAATGTACAACACTAATAGATTTACCTTCTACATTTTTTATGTTAATATTAGTCTTTTTCAATTCCTCTTTGTCGAGATCCTTTGCCAACTTTATCTTTTTTATACTATCACCTTTTATCTTTCTTATAGGTGTAATGTTCTTCTTAGAACTACTGTTATTAGATATTTCCACTATAGCGGTTATTTCAGGTGTATTATTTTTTATCAGTTCACTATTAATAGAAGAGGTTGCAAGGGTAGTTTTAGTCGTTGTAGTAGTAGAAGTAGAGGTAGTGATATTAGTATTAGTATTAGTAGTAGTAGCAGTAGTAGCAGCAGCACCAGTAGTAGCAGCAGTACTAGCACCAGCAGTAGTAGTAGTAGTAGTAGGAGCAGCAGCAACAATAGTTGCAGTAGCAGTACCAGTAGCAGCTGCAGCAGTAACAGTAGTAGTAGCAATAGTAGCAGTAGTAGTTGTAGCAGTAGTCACAGTAGTATTGAAATTAGTGGTATCACTGGTATTAGGGGATTTATTGCTCTTAGTAGGATTAGCAGTATTAGTGGTACTAGTGGTATTAGTGATATTGACAGTATTATTAGTAGTATTAACAATATTGGTTGTATTAGTAAGAGTACTTGTATTAATACTATCAGTAGTATTAATGTTGTTCCTATTAACAGCAGATGATATTCCATCAGGACTTTTACTTTTACTTTTTGTAATGATGACAACAGGTTCAACGACAGGATTTGCTTTATTTACAGATTGTTGTTGAGCCTCTGGAGATTTTTTTTTTCGTACTAACTTACGTTTTTCTACGGGACTTTCTATTATGCCATTTGTATTTGCTGTAACAGCATTCTTGAGATTTAACAGTTTTTTCTCCATTTTTGGCAGTATCACTTTATTATTTATGGGAAGTTGTATTTCTACCTTTGTAGTATCGGTCCGAATATTTTGAGGTGGATTGTAATCAGGTAATAACAGCTTTATTTGCATAAGATCATGTGGATCATACTGGATTTTAGGCTGTGCATACCTAAAGTTCAAACATCAAAATATTAATTATGTATTGTATTGGTTCGTGAATAACTAATTTTAAAAAGTAAATGACAATTGAGATAAAAAAGGTGAAATATATTAAAATGATGAAATATTCATTAATTTGGTGATAGTAAGGCTTATCAAATAATTAGGTATTATTAACTATTATCTTTGGGCATTTATTGCATAACTGCCAAAATTTACTTATCCTTATATTAAAAGGAAGTCTAATAAATTAATATTTTGAATTACCTATGCAACTTTACAATTAAATTTGGTTTACATTTTAAAGTATGTTATATAATATATTATTACAAAATTATATATTTATTTTAAAATTTTTGAATCAAAAGAACAAAAAGAAACGTAATTTATTTATCTAGGAAACAATTCGATGACATCCATAACAATCTTTTTATATTTACTGTTTTTTTAATTACTTTGTTCTTTTGTATATGCAATTTAGTATAAAATTGTATATCGTATATAAAATTTTGTATAGCAACAATAGCAATAGAAACATATATATGATTAATTGATAAAATTGACAATAAAAAATCGTGCCTAAATTCTCCAAAGACTTCCTCCAACTTCTTAGAGTGATCCTCGACTTCTTTAACGCATTGCTCCATTTCTAATTTTTTCTTTCTCGGTAGAACTGCGGGTGGTTCCTGGGAGTATAAATAGATATCCTTTGGTGAGACCCAAGCTCTGTCGTGTTCGCCGAAAAAGCGTACGTCCACTAAGCCTTGCGTATTTAATCTCGGCATTGCCTTGGCTGGCCAAAAAGGGAAACCTTTGAGCTTGGCCCAAACAATGGGATGTGGTCTGCGACAAGGCTCAATGAACCAGGAAGGTAGAGGTCGAGGCAAGTTGCGCCCGTGAGCAAAACAATCTGGGCATGCCTCTATTTCCGAAACTTCCTGTCGTGCTACCTTTAGCATCTGCTTTGCTGTATTCGTCAGCTTCGACGTATCTGCATAAACACCATCACCTATATATGTTTTTGCGAGAAAAGGACCCAATGATATTTATGAAAACTAAGTCTCTATTCGAAGAAATATAATACACGTCGATGATAATTTCTATTGATATTAGATGGTGTTCCTACTACTCATTTGTTCAAATTTGACATGCCAGAAATGGATTGAACAAGATAAAATGTTTAAATTTATTCTTACTAATTACAAAATAAAATATGTTTTACAAATCTAATTTTTTTCTTATACCCTGCAAATATTTGTCTCTTTTTAAAAAGGAACTCTGAAATCTTAGTTTTTAAACAAATATTAATGCGTTTTCTGTAATGATTTTCAATATAAAAGATTAAAATCCTGTGTATCAATATCTGTTTAAACAAGTATTATAAAAACTGTATATGATTAATGCAGTGCACAACATTAGTATGATAAATATGGTTTTTGTCACTTACAATACGTAATCTATATTTAAATTAAATATGATAGATGAAAAGTAATTCAACCTATAAAGATGTTGAATAATCATAGACAGAATAAAATATAAAACGAATTATAGATTAAAATAAAATAATTAAAAGAAAATGTATTAGCTTACATGTATTAAAAACTATGCAATTATGTTGAATCCATCTTGCATCAGCCATAAATGCGTCTGTACTACCATACAGTTTGGTACGAACATTGGATTCAAGTAAACTTAAATCCATTGGTTTAACAACATACTCCAGGTAATTAGGAACTTCATTTAGATCAACTGCCTTCCAAAATGGTGCAGACTACAATTTTTGAAAGCAAATACTTAAGGTTCAATTCTATTTAGAATTTATAACACATAATCAATATATTAATAAGATTAGTAAGTTAAATTGTATTTATTTATTTTTAGATTTGTATGTGCACATTTTGATTTGTTACATTGTATAGGAAAAATTAATAACTATTTTTGTATTTTATTTATATTAAAATTTTTGTTATAATAAATGGTTTATATTAAATAATACTTAAATTTATTGAAACTGTTCGTTAAATTTTTATAATCAATTCCTTTATTAAAGGTACTTGGGTAATATGTTATCAAGCTATTATTTTTTTTACATTTTGCTTTCTAGAAAATAAGTGAAAAAATGATTTGTTGCTTTATATCTTAAAATAATAAGATACAAATGTATGGATTTCAAGTTACCAAGCAATATTAATGCTTCACGAGAGGGTAAATGAAAAAAAAACTATAAAAACACTATAAAGTTGGAGATCAGAGAAGGTGGAAGGATAAGAGTGAGGGTGCCAGTGCGCGAGTGCGTGCGCGAGTGAGTGAGTGAGTGAGTGAGTGAGTGAGTGAGTGAGTGAGTGAGTGAGTGAGTGAGTGAGTGAGTGAGTGAGTGAGTGAGTGAGTGAGTGAGTGAGTGAGTGAGTGAGTGAGTGAGTGAGTGAGTGAGTGAGTGAGTGAGTGAGTGAGTGAGTGAGTGAGTGAGTGAGTGAGTGAGTGAGTGAGTGAGTGAGTGAGTGAGTGAGTGAGTGAGTGAGTGAGTGAGTGAGTGAGTGAGTGAGTGAGTGAGTGAGTGAGTGAGTGAGTGAGTGAGTGAGTGAGTGAGTGAGTGAGTGAGTGAGTGAGTGAGTGAGTGAGTGAGTGAGTGAGTGAGTGAGTGAGTGAGTGAGTGAGTGAGTGAGTGAGTGAGTGAGTGAGTGAGTGAGTGAGTGAGTGAGTGAGTGAGTGAGTGAGTGAGTGAGTGAGTGAGTGAGTGAGTGAGTGAGTGAGTGAGTGAGTGAGTGAGTGAGTGAGTGAGTGAGTGAGTGAGTGAGTGAGTGAGTGAGTGAGTGAGTGAGTGAGTGAGTGAGTGAGTGAGTGAGTGCGTGCGTGCGTGCGTGAGTGAGTGAGAGAGAGAGAGAGAGAGAGAGAGAGAAGTTCGCCTTACACCATGTTGATCTCTCATCCTCTCTACAACATGTTTGAGCATCATGCAGAGTTGGTCAACGGTCAATTGTGCCATTGCTTGGGAACGAGTCTCGGGATTCTCCGCCTGCAGAATGCCCGCACACTCGCCACATATCCAATTGCTAACAGATAGCGGGGGTGCTCCCCCCATACAGCGCCTGTGCCATGATCTTGGACAGACGCTGCATTGAGCTTCGACCGACTCCTTGTGACAGCGCCAGCAGAACCTGTCGCTCCTGGTATCCATTTTTTTTCGTTTGCCTGCGCTGCTGCCATTTTGTTCGACTGGCGAGCTCCTCGCCGGAGGTGTGCTACGTTTTCGGGAACATTTATAATATTTATTTTTTGTTCTGCACGATTGATAGTCGCTTGATGGAGATAAAGATAAATTGGTTTTTGCCTGCCAAGCTTAACAGTGCACGTGTGAATTTTTTTTTTGTGTTATGATACGCCTGTAAAGTATCGATTTAATTTCAAATAATCATAAATAATCGTAATCTTTATCGTAAGCTTCGGCAGGGACTTTTACGTTTTTGTATATTCAATGATACTTATGTATAACCAAACGCAATTATTTTTTATGTTAAAATAATATAGTATTATAATTTTTATACAAAGTTTGTAAAACATATACAACTCTTATCTCATTTGTATGCATATGTTTATTATTTATCATAACTAAGTAATTATTTCACTAAGCAATGACTTCCAGAGAACTTATATAATATATGATTTATAATAGGATCTATACAATTAGTGTGTATAATTGTATTCTGAATAATTTATGACTTAAAAATATTTTATAATAACTAATTATTTAACACTTATCTTCTTGAGATAAATATAATAAAATAAAATGAAAAATATAAAAAACTTACTTTGTACTCTTCCGTTTTCTTTTTCCCTCCTTTATCTCCTTAATTGGTACTGATGTTGATGAAGTTGTCTCCATTTCTGAATTTGTAGTATCTTTTAACAAACTAGAAACCTTAGCTGACCTATCATTATCTTTTTTCTTTTCTAATTCTACTGTCTTAATGATATTTTGTATATTGATTTTTATATTGTCTGTACTTTGGGGATCAAGAATCTCATTTTTAATTTCTTGTACCTTCTCACATATATCGTCCACATTTTCACTTTTAATATTTTCCTTCACCACCATGTTTTCTAAACTTACTATATCTTCTTGTTTCTCACTCTTCTTATCTTGTACACTTGAATCAGAAACTTCCATTTCACTAGAAGTATCCAAAATTTTATCTTTAATATTTTCATTCGAATCCATTACTTAAAAGTAGATATCACAATATCTGTAAAATAAGAAATATTACAACATTGTTTACATTTTATTGATATTTTGTTGCCACTTAATATTATACTACAAGTTCCTATAGTATGTATATTATTAACCTGATGTTAGCCCAATTAAATTCAGAAATGTAATTATAAAATTCCCAAGAATGCATTTATAATATTTTCTATCTATTTTCTTATATCAACTGCAGAAATTAAATAAAAGTATATAAAAGTTAATCTTTTCTTAATTAATGTTAGCTGTGAGGATGCCAGAACAGCTTCTGTTAAGTTTCAATGAACTTGTAGTTGGACTACTTCAACACAGAGGGCAATACTTTCCCCAGTTTCTGACTACCAATATAACTGTATATTACGTTATATAGGTATCAATTTAATATTTATACTCAAATAGATATAATTAACATATTATTAATTAAGATTATAAACACTACTGTAAAGTTTTTAAATAATTGGCAATTCTAAACATTAATAAGGCTTTTAACTTATACTCTTAAATTATACATATGTACATATTTATAATGCATATTTACTTAAATTATATTCTCTTAACATTACCAGAGTAAACTTATTATTTGAATACAATTATTTCATTTATTATATATTATCTAAAACTATCTACATTGACATTAGTTAAAGTTATATATTTTAAAAGTCAATATTATATCTATATTGGGACTACTTTACCTGTAAATTAACAACATATTAATATGCTGTAACTTTACAAATGCATGCACATATATAGATATATAAATACTCATGTGCATACATAACTCATGCAAACAATACTCGCTTTGATTAATATGGGTAAGGGTAGTTTAAAAAATTTATTTTAAAAACAATTTCTGATGTTACTTTTATCATTATTAGGAAACACTTATTTTTTATGAAAGGTTAAATAATAATTTTCAATAAATTTTTATAAATTTAACTTCAAATATAAATAAATAAATAAATAAATAAATGTATATATATATATATATATATATATATATATACATTCACACATATGTATAAAGTAAATAAATTTATATATCTTTTACTTAATTATATTGACTTCTATTAATTTTTTTTGGTACTTAACTGTAATATAATAGGTATCAGTGAAAGTGAAGTTAAATCATTTTATTTGCATTAAACAATGTTATAAAATTAATAACAAAATATAAATTAAGAATTATTTTTATAAAACATTTTAATAAAATGAATTTTTTATATAATTCCATTTTTGCTGATTCTTTACATTTTCTTCACATGCAATTTAGAGTAAATTAAGATATTATTAAATTAAGTCCTAAATTGGAAAAATGCAATTTAAAAAATAACATTATTCGTAATAGTCATAGTATAATTTAAAACGACACATGTTTTATGACATTAACTTTACGCGCGCGCGCGCGCGCAAGCATAACTGTATATGCATGTTCATGTGAGTATGAATGCACGCGCGTATGTATGCATGCATGTGTGCATCGGCATATGCGTGTTATAGAATCATGCATATATATATATCCACATGCAGGCATGTTTATGTGTAGATACACTCTCGTAACGAACGCGCGCACACATACTCTCTTGTTTTTACAATGTCTAAATAAAAATTTCCAGAAGATTCTGGAATGTTCAAAATATAAATGAACAAAAGAATTTATTTAATTAATTAGCTTTGTTCAAAGGGTCAATAACATCATCTTTACCTTTTGCCAAGCTCAAGGCTGCAACAGGATCATCAGGCACAATTTAGTTGGAGGACACTCTTGCTGAAAATTGTTCATTTCTATTTCAATTATTCTTATATATTGATTCCTTTTTTTTTATTCTCAGTTTTATTTATACTTATTAGGTCTTCTTTTATGAAATCTATTTTCTTCCCTTGCTTTGCTGTATAGATGGTACAGTTGTATTCTTACTCTATATTTCTCCTGATGTTGTTCAGCCCGTTATCGTAAGAGATTGGTGCTCCATCTCGCGAAATCACGACAAAACTTCGCCGGCAAGATAATCACGCGAGAGGTTAAGGGATATTTTTTTATCTCTGATGGTGGTTGCTAGGGTTTGCATCTTCTGGAAACGATAATTTTATATTATTTACGATACACTTTTGTTTTTTTTTTGGTCAACCTCTCGAAATTGTTTTTTTCGATTTTTCTATTGTATCATGAAAATCAATAAAAAATATATCTCAAAATATTCATAAAATTATCTTTCAATAATATATTACAGCTGTACCACAAAATATAAATTTAATATTTATCAATATAATAATTTAAAAATTATTTTACAATAAAATTTGTAAAGTTTTAGATGATTATACACATTTAAAATGTTACATGATTCTTAAACAACGTTAAACAATCTCAAGATGTCATATAATTTTTCATTCATGCTTAAATAAAACAAGTAAAATACTCTAATGAATATAATTCTAATACATTGTATTATTTAATTTTTTCATTACAAATTGAATTTTATTGATTAAAATATATTGTAAAAACTATATTTATACTTACAAAGCCTTCCAGCTAATTTTAATATGTTACTTAATAAATGTGATTTGTTATGTTATTTAATAAATGTGAAAAACTTTCTTATAAAATTCTTACAATTATTTTACAAATCTTTATTACATGTTATATTATAATTATGAATTAAAAATTTCCAATTATAGATTATCAATACAGCTAAGTTTAATTTGATTTATTTATTTTGAATAGCACATTTTTTAATATTATCAGTCATTTAGATTTTGATCAGTAAAAATAAAAAAAAATTATTTTTCACTTTTAGTCAAATTAAATAAATAATGATGTACTAAGAATTTGTAATATTTTTTATCATTCCATAACAATAAAATTTTTATTGAAAATTTACATTACTTGTTAATTGTATAAATTGGTTACCTTAAAAAAAATTAATAACTTGTTATAACATTAATAAAATTATAATTAATATTTTTAATTACTATAAATTTAGTGAAATAAAAAAACTTGTTAGGTTAGTTTTTCATATTATAAAAAAGAATTTTAATTTACTAAAATAAAATAAAGATCTTACCCTAAATTTGATATAAAATATAAAATAAATGTAAGGTTTTGTCGATAATACTGTTGGATTTTTTGTCTTTGCTTAAATCCTTTTTTGATGTAGGTTATATAGATACGTTCATTTCAAACATAATTTAGTCCTGAAAATATATGTATTCAAGTCATTGATTTTTTATAATTGATAATGTAAGTAAATTTTTGTTACCTTTGCCATCTATAAGATACGCCTGCGCATTTGTTACAAATGCAATGTAGAATTTGGTAATACAAAAAGAAATTACAAGTAAAATACGCCGTAAAATCAATCTCTTCGTAAGAATTTGAAGAAAATTTAAATTAAAAATGACTTTTTTTGAGATCAATAAGTATATACAGAAATGTAAATAGATATTGCTTTTCGTCCATTCATATTTACAATCTTAACGCATGAATTTTATTCCGATTTTAAGACCATACGTACAAAAAATTATTTTGCAACTTGTCATTTAATAGATTTATATCTACATATTTTTTTTTGATTCATATAAGTTCTCCTATTCGTATAAATTATAAAAATACAATTTCCTTTTTTTTCATATTAGAGATTGATAATTTTTATCAATTTACGCAATTTACATATTTATGCATGCATACGTGCACATGTATATATATAGCAGTCAAAAAGAATGTTATATTATTAATATTTTTCATAAATATCTGTTTCTATATTTTTCAGTATTTCATCATTTAAATCATAAAATAGTTTTTTTTATTTAAGAACATTATATATTGTACAATTTAAATTAATTAATGTTTTATAATGAGTAAAAATTATATGTTAATAAATATATATATATATATATATATATATATATATATAAATAAGATTTAAAAATAGAAACTATATATATATATATAATTTCTATTTTTAAATCTTATTTACTTATCAATATTAGTAATAATTATTAGTTACAAATAAATATATTCTGTTTCCATTCTATAATTTTTTTTTGAAAATATTTAAAGGTTTTACTTGTGCCGCGTTCAGAAGCAGACCACATTAAACTTTTCTTGGTTATGAGATCTGTCAAAGTATTGTCAATTTTCTAAATCATTATTGACGGTTTATGTCAATCGCTAGTCGGTTGTCAAACAAATAATGGAATTTGTCGATTTTATTTCGATACCACGAGTTGACAATGTGGTACTAACAGAAAAAACAAAAGAAAAGGCAAAAAATTGTAAAATAGAAGGAACATTGTGCATTAGTGGGCATCACCTTATTCTTTCAGATAGACAAAAAAACAACCAACAAGAATTATGGGTGATTAAAATTAATATTTTAAATAATTCTGTGGTTTGTTTTTATTAAATCGTTTTTTAAACAAATTATTGCTATTACAGTATAAAAATATCACACGCACGTACATATGCAAAACTAAACTATGCTTTTTAATTTAATTTTATATATTGTATTGTAAATAATATTTTATTAATTAGAATATAAATATATACCTGGTTTAGAAAAATTCAAAATATTGAATTTTTGTTTGCAAAATTAAAATTTGGTTTAGTTTAGCTTAATTTTATAATTATATTTTTATTTTATTTTTTTTATTGTTTCATGTTTAATCAAATCCTGTGATATATTTTAGCCTATATAAAGGGTATTAAAATAATTATTTTACATATTTTATTATAAACTATTTTTATAACATATTTTACATATTTATTGAAATTTAATGCAAATTAAAAATGATTATTTTTTAATTTTGAGTCATTATTTATTTTCAATTTTTTGCAGCTACTTTATCGCAATATTGATATTATGGAAAGAAAAATAAACAATCAAAGTTCTGGAGGAAGTATAATATTAAAATGTAAGGATTTTCATATTTATCAGTTAGACTTTGGTTCTATAAATGACTTACTTAAAGTGGCACAAACCATAGAGAAATTATCATGTTTAGGTATGATATAATGTAATATATCTATTAAACAATTTATTTAATAAAAAAATTTTATTTACTTTCAGATCAAACATTTCAGTATCCTTTTTTCTATAGACCACAGTCATTAAACAATTCCAAAATACAAATTGAAGATGGATGGACTGTATTTCATCCACTTTCTGAATGGTCTCGTTTATTAGCAACACATGGAGATGAATGGCGAATTAGTCATATAAATAGAGACTATAAAGTATGTAGTTCTTATTCTTCAGAAGTGATAGTACCTACACACATAGAAGATGAAATAATAGTTTCTTCAGCTAATTTTAGATATAATGGAAGATTTCCTGTTTTATGTTATAGACATGATGGAGGAGTATATATTTAAATAAATTTAAATACAAATATGTGTAATTATTTTGAATGTCAGTTCATAGATCATAATTTTTAGGGTATATTAATTAGAAGTAGTCAGCCAATGTGTGGTCCTACTGAAAAACGATGTAAGGGTGATGAAATGCTTTTGAATTCTTACTTAAGACCAGGAATACGAGGGTAAAGTTTCATAAAAATTATATATTATATTTATTTACGAAGATTTGAATTTTTCATTTGAATTCAGTTTAAATTATTTAAAATTATGTTTAATTTCAACGTGTAACTTTATATTAGATTTCAGATGTTTTTAATTATTCACAAGTCATATGGATTTTTTGTTTAGACTTATAGTTGATACTCGAAGTCGTACACAAGTACAAAATGCTAGGACCAAAGGAGGTGGTACAGAAGTAGATACTGCATATCCTCAATGGCTCAAAACAAATAAAGCAATTTTACGTGCTACTGATTTATCAGAAAGTTTATCGAAATTGATAGAAGCCTGTAACGATTTAAGTTGTTCTACCTCCCAATGGCTGTCTAGAATAGATAATAGTAAGTGGTTATTAGCTGTTCAAGATGCTATGAATGCAGCTTGCCTCACTGCTCAGTGTATCGAACGAGATAAAACTGCAGTTTTGGTACATGGTAATTTCATCACAAAAAATAACATTAATTACTAAGTTAAGAATTATGAAAATTTAAAGTTACACAAAAGCCTCTAATTATTCAAATAAAAATATTTACATTAATGTGCTCTTTAAATTAGTTATTTTATATTCTAGGTGGTAGTGGGCGTGATACAACTCTTGTAGTTACTAGTCTAGTGCAAATAATATTAAATCCAGATTGCCGCACTATCAGAGGCTTGCAAGCATTAATTGAACGGGAATGGTTACAAGCTGGTCATCCATTTTACACTAGAACCCGTCATGGAGCCTATTACACTTATGACCAAAACTCACAAGATGCTCCAACCTTTCTCTTATTTTTAGATTGTCTCTATCAATTACATTTTCAATTTCAATTAAGTTTTGAATACACAATTGAATTACTAATAGAAATTTTTAAGCATAGTTATTCTTCCAATTATGGAACATTTTTAGGTAACTATGTAATTTAAAAAAATTATTAATTATTACATTGAATCAAACATTAAATTACAAGGAAATAATAGTTAGCAATTTTTTTTATAAAATTGTTAATTCGATATAGTTACAGTTTGTGTCGAAAATTCAAATATATTACAATTCAAATAGCTAGTAATATGTAAGTCATTTTTTAAAATGATTATTTGATTTCATTTCAAATGATTTTTGATTTCCCGATTTTCAAATGTAAAAGGTCTTTTAGACAAAATTAATTTTAAAGTTATAATTGGCAAATTATATTTTAAAAAAGTGACAAATGTCAGTAAGTCGAAAATAATAATGTATTTTTTCATTAATTTTTTCTTACTGCTCTGTTACACATTTTGAAAGTAACAAAAGCAAGTATCCGTTAATGATTCTCGAGACAGATATGTGTCGGTATTAAAGATAAGCTTATCATATCCGTTATTGTGTGCATGTTATATTATAATGCGCGCGTGTATATTAATAATCAAGGGAACAAAACACACGTTATGGTTTTTGCATTTCTATCTGTCTTACAGGAGACTCGGAGTCCGACAGAAATCGTCTAAAATTGTCAGAACGCACGTGTAGTTTGTGGTCGCATGTAAATCAGTTGGGAATCCTCGAGAAATACATGAACCCCCTGTACGAGCCAAATCCCTGTGTAATTTGGCCGAGCGTGGCTCCGGTTAGCATCGAACTCTGGCGTGAACTCTATCTCGGGTACAACGACGCCGCTCCCTGGGATGGGATGCTGTTATGCGCTCAAGAAATCAAGAACAAGCACCAAACAATCAAGCGAGTGACTGCCGAGCTCCACCAACAGATACGGCAAGTACTCGAGGAGACGGATCTGCTCTCGGATGAGTCACCCTCCTCAGCCACTACAAGCTATGCCTACAATAGTTCCGGGCTCGATGAAGCCGCGATACATTGCAGGTTCTCGGAGCTGAGTCTCGAACAGTCCCAGAATACTTGATATTACATTGCCCGTCCGGAAATCAATGAGTGGCCCGCGTATTCCTTTAGTCAGTAAACGACCAGGAATTCTCAGTAATTGGAACTTTTTAATTTTTGTACGAGGTTGCTCCGTGATTTATTTTAAAACTTGCATACCTTGGACACTCACGAATAGCAATAATCTTGTCGCTATTTTTAGTCTATCTATTCCAGACTGGGCTTACATTTTATATTATATTATAATAATTTTATATTATAACTTTTATTTATTTAAATAAATTGAATATTTCATTTTGACAAATGATAATTTAACATAATAATTTTTACACATATAATAGTATTATTTGATTAGATTGAACATTAAATTTGTTTTGCAGTGTATTGAAATTTTCTGTAATCATTAAATTTTGTAGAATAAATGATGTAAATACACTTCTTACATTCTTACAATTTATGTGATTAAAATAGAAATAAAATAATTTGAGTCTTTTTTATAATTTTGCTAATGCTAGTGATTTATTTTATATACAATTTATATAATTCAAGATATTAAAGTAAAGCAAACTTTTTATATTTTTAATTTAAGTATTTAATTCGAGTTACAATTATTTATAATTCTTGATGCTTTTTGATAAATTAAACGTTTAATTATGAATATGGAAATCTCGGCTTTACTCGGTATGTTTATCATATAAATATCCTATGCATTTTTTTAATTAATTATCACATTTAAATTACCTGTATAGTAGTTATTTTTGTTACATAAATTTAAAGCACAGCAGGCTTTTAATTTATTCAAATTTAATAATAAAAATACTTTAAAATTGAAAATGTAATTTAAAAAATGTGTTTTTATTTTATATATTAAATATTCATTAATAATTTCACATTTGCTTTATAAGCTATTCAGAAAAAGTAAGTTGTAAAGTTGTTTACTGTTTACATGGACACTTAAAATTATAGGCGGTAATTATGGCTTCATATTTCATTAAGGTATGTATAATCAGACTTTTTTCTAAAATATTTAGGAAGTTTTGTTTCTTCAGTATTAGTAATATTAATTAACACTTGTTAACAAGGGTGATTTTAATAATGGTAATATTAATAATAACAACAACGACAAAACAAGAACAGATCTCAACAAAGTTGGACTTTTAATATTAATAACAATTTACATCATTTTAACGAAGTATATTAATTCGTATACTCAAGATATATCGTAAAAGAGTTTGCGCGCGCTCTCGTGATTATCCAAGGATGGAGATTTTTACCGTTATTCGAGAACGTTGAAGAAAGGACGCGTCGTAAGTTGTACATAAGAAAAGTGAAGAGATATAAGGGCAAGAGAAGCATAGAAATCCATGGAAATGGAAGGGGGGATGAGAAATTGGAGGGAGGAACGCGGCAGGTGTTCTGACACAAAGAAACGTAAAGGAATCCTGAAGCCATTAGCCTGGGATACGAACTTTCGTGCTTCCCAAGCTTATTACAAATCTCTTCATACTCTTGCTTTACCTTTAATTTGAATAAAGCTCATGTCGACGCCATAAAATAAAATAATATTAATATACATGAATTTGAGAATATTGTACACAAAAGGATAAAGATGCTTACGAACGATTAATATTGCAAACTTCATAATTTGTAAATTGGTAACTTCATTTAGATTATAGGACGCAGACAATAATCTTTGGAGTTAAGAGTCCAACATCCTTGGATGAGTGTGGATCTAGTCACGAATAGCTTATTTAAAAACGTGGACTGAATTCAAACCCATCCAGGGCTACCGGACTTACTAAGATTATTTTCCCCCTTTTTCTTTCTTTGAGTTTCGATGAATCCTCAATTCCAACTGTAGAGCCGGCACTTGCCAATTTTCTTTCGATATTTTTGTCAAGTTAAAGACAAATTAAAATTAAAATAAAATCTTTGAGAAATGGTCAACGCTATTATGGACTATGCTGCTCTCTTCTCTCTTTTCCCGCAATATTGGGCCGCTCTCGCTCGCTCCAAATCCTTCGAATGTAGCAGGTATACTGAAGGAGAGAGGGGAGCCCCGCAGGAGAATAAGCGTAGGATACATTATACGTACCCCTACCTCTTTTTCTTCTCTCTCACTCTCTCCCGCATGCTTGTACGCTCTCTCACACTCACCTTTCTTCGGGGAATTTCTGCTGAGGTGGGAACGACTCTTTCAGGAGGCCAACACGTTATGTGCTCCATGACCAAAGCCACTCAAAAAACTTGCCCGTGAGGGGGAGAGATCAGTGTTGAAGCTCGAAAGACTAACCCATTCGGAGTGTATGCCAAGCGTTCCGACGGACTCAAAACAGCTCGTTTTTTAGTGCCGCAAAATTATGTCCGAGATATGCACTGTAGGAATTTTAATGAAGAAAATATATGCAAAATGATTTGAAATTATTTCAATTAATTATTAACAATTTCTTCATTATAAGCTGGTTTATTAAGTATATAATAAATATATCGCGATAATATTTCACATAAGAGATATTTAATAGAACATTCATTTTCTTTCTTTATACAATTAATTTATTTCTTTGTATTAAAAGCGCTAATACAATAAGAATTCATGAATATGTACATTATTTAAATTACATACTTTCTATATTATTTATTTTCGTTGTTTATCCTTAACAAATATTTCATTTAATTTATTACGTTTCAATTGTATATATATATATTTTTTTTCCATTGGTTTGAATATTAAATTATTTCTATTAAATTTGACAATAAAGTACGTATTTTTAAAAATTATTCAAATAATTGAACAATGAATATCACAAAGTTTATTAAAATAAAATTAATAATTTTAATAATTAATTTTTATAAAATCAAGTCTATTTTTTTGTTAACTGTTTTGTGAAAACTAAGCTATTTTAATACATATTTATCTTTGGATAAATTATAAATAGATCTTTGCAATTTGCTTTCTTCACTCCTAATATTTACAAGTATAGATCGAGGAATGATTATGAAAGATAAATTATCACAAGTATTATAATCAAACATGTAAAAATTATGCCACCAATAAGAATCAATCCATCTGTATGAGCTCGCTGCTCTATTAGTCTCATTGTTGTATTAGATAATCCCAATGCATTACCAATATCTATTAAACGTTTATGTGCTCCCTTTAGTGCATACCTTTGTGATCGTAAATTTTCTAAAATACCAGCACCATGTTCAAGAATATTGTCAACACCATAAACTGCATTACGAACACTGTTATTATGTTGCAAACTATGATCGATTAAAATATCTACATGATCATTAGTAGTAAATTTGCGAGATAACAAAGCTTCTCTTTCTGCTTGTTCTTTTTGTTTATTTAAATTCATTTGCCTCCATAAATTTAATGCTGCAGTAAGGTGACGACAATCATATTTCAATTGATCAACTCTCATTTTTGCATTTTGACGTTGTGAAATTAGGCCTTTTGAACACAAGATGTCTAATCGATCACAGTTGCTAAAATAGAAAGCAATTTTAATTTTCTTTATAACTTTAATTTATCATTCTTAAATAAGATACATATATTTATTCTTTATAAAACATCAAAACAATAGTTTTTTATTACATTGAATTATATTTCAGTTTCGATTATATTATAATTAACATATTCTGACATATGTAATTAATAATTTAAAGTGAAAGGATATCTTGAGAATTGAATATTTTTTAAACAAAATTTTAAATTAATAATACATTGTAAAAGATATAATTTTAATACTAATAATTTCAAATTAAATTTTAGGATAAAAACTTAATTTGAAAGAATTGTAATGATCTAATATAATGCATTTATATATAATATAATTTTTTGTACCTGTTAATATTCTGAATTTTTGTTTCTATTTCACTTTCAACCGCTTGGATATTAAGGTTAGGCTGTTTTCCTTCCAGTTGACTAAATAACTGCTGGGTTTCCAAAACCAGTTTATTTGTTTGGTGATAAAGTGTTTCCATTTTTATTTTTTAATAATAATTTTGAAATATAGTTTTAAAAAATATCGCAACAAGTAACATAACGAAAATTATGACGTATACAATTTTGTGCCTCTTATAATCTATTCAAGAATTATGAATATAACCGATGACGTCGACATGTACAATCGCCGATAGCAATAATCAAAGAAATGACTTAACTGATTATTTTAAAAGCTCGATGAAGCGCCTCTGGCGACCAAATTGAATAACTATTATTATAAAAACATAGAAAAATGAGTTCTAACATAATGGGACTGAATTGGGTCTAGGATCCACGTACTAATTAAAAAATTATAAAAATGGGAGCGGCATCGAATATTAGGTTGTTATATAGTCTTCCGTTGTATGTTTAAAACGTAACGTTTTCTTTTTATTTTTGGATGGAAAAAATTAATTTGAATTTCGAAGAATTTTTAAACTTTACTAAATAAAATTAATATTAATTTTGTATATTATATACGTCGAAATATTATAAGCAGGTAATCATTCAATTTAATTATTTTGGAAATCCTAAACAATGTAAAAAAATTGGATCATTTATGGCGTATTTATCGGTATTTTAATTAGTAATTAATATTTTTCTAAATCAAATCAGGAACCTCAAATTTTAAATCTTAAATTTGTCTGTGGCTAGTGATTCACGTAGCCGCTATCCTCAGACTGGAATATTTTGGAACCTTAGTAAAGCATTTTTTTACGTACAGGTTCTTTTATTGACCATTACAGCAATAATGTAAAGAAATTTATATATTAAATATTAATTTTTAAATTTAGTAATTATACTTATTGTTTGAATAGAAACTAATAAATTTTATTTTCATCAATGAATTTCAATAATTAATCGATAATTATTTATTAATTAAAATTTATTACACCTAATATGCACTATTTTTATTTAATATAATTAAATCTTTAAAAATGAATAATGCAAATTGATATCTCTCAAATATAATATTATATATATATATATATATATATATATATATATATCAATAAATCGACGACTCTAAATATTTTTATGTATTTCTTAATTAAACTGTTAAAAGTAAATAAATTGAAAATTTCATTGGGTAAATAAAAATACTATATACTACATACTACTAAGGAAAATAAAAACTATAACTACTTAATATTATATAAAACTAAAATTTTCTTTTTAAAATGTTGTAAATTTTATATGCAATATTAGTCTGTACTGCCAGCAACAAACTATCATTTAATAATGGTTTTAAATGGAAACTAATATCATTATATAATGGAGTAATAGCGGGAACCTGTGAGGTACAAAAAGCTGCTATTTTAACACGCAGCAATTAAAGTGATTTAAAAATTAATTTTTTTATTTAGTAGTCGTATACTCCTGTTGGTTAAAAAATTAAAAAACTGTGATAATCAAAAGTGATTATAAACATAGAGAATATAATAAAATAGTTTGAAGGTTTTGAAAAACGAAATACATAAATCTATTTTCTGATTTAGGTAGAATATAATTGATCCATATTAACTTGAGCGTGTGTCGACAATAAATATTTTTTAGTCGCATCAGTCTTACACTACGTGCGCGCTACATAAGTTATTCAATAATCAATATAATTTTTTTGTAAGTGCATATGCATGATGTAAGGAAGCAATGTATATTTTAACATAAAAGGCAGAATACAGTGTGAGAAATAAAGCGTGTGTAAGAGAATGTGAGACAGATAAAAAAAAAAGTAATGATTGTAACCTTTTTATTAATGTTTAGTTGCAATGGCATTAACTCGTATAATTTTTGTTTTTTAGAAAGAATTTAATGGTAAATAAATTTTAGATTCATTGAATGTATCGTTCATCAACTGTCTATAAGTTTAAAGGAATGACTAGTTTTAAATTTTTAATTTTTTTATGTTTACTCATTTTTTAGTTGCATAGTATTTTTATTTGGTAGAATTAATTATGAATGCTTCTACAATTAATATTATATTTTAATTTCAAATAATATCTTGTGGATACATAAGTTTATATTTTTTAAATTTTTTGTTTAATTAATATAAATTTTTGCAAAAATTAAATATTACAATAAGAAAGAGAAACTTCAAATCTTCAACAATAGAAGGTTTAAATGATAAATTTATACTTATATACGATGAAATACAACAAATTAAACCACTTTCAAAATTCAAAATTTATATCTACATTTATGTACATAACTAAAAACAATTATAAAATAAAATTATATTAAAAACATAAAATGATAAAATTTTCTAGTTTATACAAAATTTATATTCACTATTGACTTTATATTTATTTTTTCAGATTTTAATTAAGATTAATAGTTTCAAATATTTTTTAAAAGCATGTATAGAGATAATCCAAAAATTATAATTGAAGATGTATCAGCATCATTGGCTTCTTTTGCTGCCTATATACAAATGGAAGATCTATTAGAAAAATTGAAATTACTTAACTATGACAGTGAATTCGTTCAAAATCTAAAAATGAAAAATATAAGCAGGTAATATTTTGTAATATAAGTATATCTTCTTATAATTATATATTATACTTATAAAATTCTTATAGACATTATTTCATGGTACCAACAAATCCAGGAGAACAGTTTTATATGTTTACATCCCTGGCTGCTTGGTTAATAAGAAAATCTGGTAAAAAATTTAATCCTCCGCAAGAATCTGATGATCCTAATTCAACAATATCAGAAATAATGGAATTTTTAAAACAAATTGATATTCGTATAGAATTTCCACCAAATAAATTAAAGCAAGGAGTTGGTGAACATGCTGTCTTTGTACTTGATAATCTTGCTGATCATGCAATAAAATTTTTAAAATTTAAATGGCAAAAGTAAGTTTGTCATGTATTTATATTTTAATTAGTTTAAAAATAATATTCAAGTAACTTAAAAAATTTTTATTTATATTTTAGAGTTCAAATACCTCCAGATGAAACTATTATTGAACCCGAAATTGAAGAAGATGATGCAGAACTAATTTTAGAAAAGGTTGAAGAAGAAATGATGGCTGAATTTGACGATGAAGAAGATGATGTTATTCATGTTGATGATATTACAAAATTATATAAAGAGGCTTCGGTAAGTTTAAATACTAATATCATAAGTTAATATTGGAATAGACTATTGTTTTAGTAACAATAATGAACCATTATATCTGTTCAGAGTAACAGTCAAAGACCAGATAAAATTTTAGAATCAACTGTTGATACTGAAGAATGGAAATTAGAATTAGAACGCGTTTTACCACAATTGAAAATAACTATCAGTGCAGGTAATAGTAGTATATAGATAGTACATAGATAATATTTTATAAACCCATAAATTACTAATTCAAAAGAAAAGAGATTTGATATTTTAACTAATTTAGAGAATATGTTTAACTTTGTTTCAAATATCAATTTTTAAATAATAAAACTTTTACTATTCCTTATATTTTCACCATTAAATTAGCATAAACTTTTCATTTAAATTTAAAATAATTTGTACATTTATTTAATACATAAGATTTCAATAATTCAATTACTATACTACATTTATTATGTTTAAAATAGTATAATAAATATTATTGAGTTCTCTAAAATTAATTACATCTCAACAGTCTGTAAATATTAATAATTTTGAATAATATTAATTTTACTGTAATTTATAAATTATAAAGCATATAATACAAAATCTAATTTTTAAGCATCCCATTTTGTTTAATTTGAAATGATAAAATTAATACTTTGTTAATTAAAATAAAATTTAATTTACTAAAAATAATTAGTATTTAAATACATATGTTATGATTAGTAATTTATAGTTTTATTTTATTTTATTGAAAATTTTATATTCATCAAAGATTCTCGTGATTGGAGAGAACATCTTGTACAAATGAAAACTTTACATGCAACTATGGGAAAAGATCTCTCTGGGACGAAAAGTCAGCTTGAAAAATTGAATGCAGACATTGGAAGAGCATTAGATAACATAAATACTAAAGAGATTCATTTGAACCGACAATTAGATCCACAACTTCAAGAACTGAGAGTTCTTCAGGTGTAGAAAAAAGCATTAATTATTATGTATTTCTATTAGTATAAATACACTAGTAATGTATTAATATTATTTAATTATTTAGGAGGAACTTTCTAAAGTAAAAGAAGAGTACAGAGATATTAGTGGAGGAGTCACAGAGCGAACAAGGGTTTTAAATAAGTTGACAGAAGAATTAGAACAAGTTAAAAAAGAAATGGATGAAAGAGGATCTAGTATGACTGATGGAAGTAAGTGCTTGTCATTGAATATTATTAAAATTATATAGGTATCATGAGAACATTAAGTATGTTTATATATTTTTTTTATAATTATAATTATACTATTTTCTTTATAGCATCTTAGTCAATTAAAATAATAAATATTTCGTTATAATAAACTCTTTTTATTAATTTTAAGGTAATACGAATTTTTAAAATATATGTAAATAAATTAGATTTGTACTAGTTTAAGTTTTCATTGATCAAAAAGGAGTAATTAAAAAAAGACTTATTAGAAATTAGGTACAATCTGATTGCAGCTTTTTTTTCTCTCATAATATTAAAATTTCATAAATGTTATAAGTTATTTGTAAATTTGTAAATAGTTCAAATTTATTGTATTTATTATGAAAAAAGTAATATTTTTAATACTATAAATGTATTAATGTTTTCTATTAAAAATAATCTACTAAATTTTTTATGTTATTATGCTCTATATGTGACATATCATGAATAGTTTGTACATAATATATGCATAACATGTACATAGTAGATGGTATAATTTTGAATTTCAAAATCAATTAAAAGTATTTTCAGTTTTAATTAAGTTTTCTAATGATATTGCAAAAAAAAAAAAAATAAAAAATAATGTTATATTCTGATCAATCTTGTGCTTTTATTTTTAAGAAATTTTTTTTTAAAAAAGTATATAATAAAATATTTTATTAAATTAAATAAAAGAGAAAATTTTTTGCAGCTCCATTAATCAACATAAAGAAAACAATTTCAAAAATGAAAAGCGAAATTTCAGAAATGAGTATACGAATAGGCGTTTTGGAGTATAGTTTAATGTGTTCAAGGGTTAGAGACAGAGCTCAATTACAAGAGGATATGAATAGTACAACCAGTACTGTTTCTGTTTAATAAAAGATTATTATACTTTTATTCTAGTCATTTGTGTTTTTTACATGTGAAACGAAAAAATTATTCGATTTTATTTAATAAAATATAAAATTTTATTTTGTAATTGAAAATTAAATGTTGTTGGTGAAATATACATAGTCATTGTAATAAATAAACAACACTATATTAAGTGGTAATTTGTTAAATACATTGTACTTTATTTTCTATTTTACTTTTTTAAAATTTTTTACAATAATAGTCTACATTTATAAATTGAAATTTTTACAATTTACCCAACGAATAAAATAAATTGGATGTTAACAATTGAAGAAATTGAAATAATTCTTTAAAGATTTGTAAAATATTTTGCATATACTGTATAATATACATTACGTACTTTATAATGTTGCCTTCATAGAATTAAAACAAAAAATAAAACTAGCGTAATCATTTAAAAGTTAGTTTAAAAGTACGATTTACCCCTTCCACGCATACGAGAATTTATAGTGAAGAGCGGAGCAGCGTAGGCAGTGTAAAGTTCCACAGTCGGCTTGCGGACTTCGATTTTCAGCTATAATTTTATATCACTTAGGCATGAGAAATTTGATAAACCATTATAGTTGGACCGTATGTTGACTTATATTGTTCTTTAATTTAGATAATTTTAGACTTATGTAACTGTTTGAGAAGTGTTTAAAATGAATAATAATTTTATTTTTCATCAAATATGTACGCGTTTTTAGGTAGGTAAGCTGATAATTTCTATACCTTATAGTGCAATTATTCTAAAAAAATTCTAATGCTTTAAGTTGATTCTGTACTTTTTATAAAAATATAGATGAAAATTAAAATAAATTATATTTAGATTAATTGAAATTCAATATCATTTTACATCTTTCAAAAAATTGGATTTATAAAATTTTATGCCATAATTTAATAATTATTTAGAAAGTTAATAAAATTTAATTAAAAATAAAACAATCTTCTTTCTAGTTGTAATATAATTATTTACTTACATTTACTAAATATTTAAAAACTTTTTTTTATAAAATGTATTATGTAATTTTCTTTTCATATAATTAATTCCAATTGATAATTAAAATTATTTAATTTTAAAAGTTAATTACTAGTAAGTAATGAATCAAATGGTTTAAAATTATTTGTAAATCATTTGATAATTTTATATTATTGATCGAATGTTTACAAATTAATTTTAGTCCTTGAAGATTAAATAATTTAATACTAGATAGATTCATTGTATATTACAAAATAAATTTGAATATTTTTCACTAATACTGTACTGTATATAGGAGCTGAAATAATTGAGAAGTACAGTAGATATTTAAACTTTTAAGAAATACAAATAGAAAGTGCATAATGTAACTTTCCTTTTACTCCGTTTTACAACTTTTACTACCAAAGTTTAACTCCGGGTAAATGAAAGATGCAAGTATACACATAAATGACATATCTTGTATACTGTCAGTACGTGTAGTACGTTCAGTATAGTAGCGTATATTGTATGTCACATAAACGATTAGAAATTTATACTAATAATACTAACGCATATTATAAATCTACATGATGTGTACAGAAGCGATTACATTTTTGCATTTCCTACACAATATGATAATTTTGAAGGATCATAAAGACGATAAAAATAACCATGATAGGTATGAGTCATTTTATAAAATCTGCTAAATTACATAGCAATACTTATAGTTATAATAATAAGATTTTTCAATACAATTTGTAATAAAATTTAAACAATTCTGTAAAAGTTTCAGAAGAGTTTTTTTTCAACACATTTTGAAATTTGAACTAGTTAATTTTCGGATGTTTGTTCTAAAAATCACACTACTTATTCTGGCAATTTCAGCTGAATCATATTTTCTACAAATCAATGTAATTCATGAATTTTAGATGCATTACTTTTTCAATTAAAGTAATATAAATTATATATAGATATATTTTGAAAAACTAACTCATTCTGTTATAGTTTGAGTAAAAATAATGTTGATACATTTTAATCCCTAAAAACAAGAGGCGCATGGAAAATTTTATCCATTAAACGAAATAATTGATGAAATGTTTAAAAATGTTTATTAATATGAAATATTTATAAATTTTAAACTATAGTAATAAAGCATTATCAATAAGGCCATTATGTCGTAAAATATATTTCATGTAATTATTGTTATACATTTTTTAAATAATAAACTTAATATTTTACGAAGCTTATAAAATTGAATAACTCACTCATCTATATAAACTAAAATCAAATAAATGCCAACATAAAAAATAAAATAGTTATTTAATTGATTTATCAGCTTTGAATAGCTGTCAGTCGTAAGAAATAATGATTATTTTTATAATTTTAGATATTTTATGTTATTTAGAATAGTATATGTAAATTTGTATTTAATTTTATTCTTTAAATAAATAATTTTAGACAACAGATTACATTCTAAGCTTTAAGTTAAATATGTTTTATTAATCAAAGCATTTTTAATTTTTAATTTTAAATATTATTTTTCTTAAATTTAACTCTAGATTTTTATTTTAAGACATTAATTTATCAATATATGAAGTATCAAAATTTATTGATGCATAAATATTTTTTTTTTAGTAATATTTTGTTTTTTTTTAGTAATGAAAAAAAATTGGAATAAAACTGACAATAAAATTTAAGGTTTATAAATAAAACGTATTATAAATTGAGGAATATAACATGAATCTTTTATTTAGAATATTACTTATAAATTTTAAATAATATTCGTATATACGAAATTAAATAAGAAGTATCAATACACCAGTGCGTATATAACGAAGTACAAAAAATAAATATAAAAAGTGTACATCGATTAAAACGATTAGTATATTATAAATTCAGCAGAAACGAAGTGATTGATGAAAAAACAGGATCTTCTTAACGGTTCAAAGTTGAGTAAAACTCTTGAAAATTCCTATTTAAAAATAAAATAAATACGGTATATAATTTTAGTAAATAATGAACTAACATTTAAAAATATTTTTTACTTTGATTAAATAATTGTGTTCTACCTATATTTAGGGGTAAAAACTTTTTAAAATATTGTATGTATTTTCGATACAATTTTTTAAAATTAAAAATAATTTTAACATATATACATGGCGATATACATCAATGGAATATATATTTATCTTTCATTTTTATGATATCTCATATCTTGATGTTTAAAATTTAAAAACAGATAATAGTTAAAATTTAAAAGAAAAAAAAATTGGTATTCTTTTTCAGAATTAATAACTACATATGTATAAAAAAAATAAATATATATTTTATTTTTTATTTATATTGATAAAATCAATAATATTACAATTTAAGGACTTAGAAATTAAAAACCTTTCATAAATTAATGGATTTAACATTTCAGTATATTGTAGTATAGTAATGATATCTATAATTAAATTTCATACGAATGAAATTAAGTTTTTATAAAAAATTTTATATATATATATTTAATTAAAACTTAAAAACACTTTTTTTTAAAGTTTATTCCTGAAAATAAATTGTGGATGATTCATTTTATAATTTAATAACAAATTTTTAATAATTATATCTAATGTAATAATTATTAATATAAATGTATAACAAATTATGTAAGATAAAAATTATATGCAAAGGTTAATATTCATATTCATGATTTTAATAAACACATATTTTCATAAAGACTTTAATAACAAGCTTGATTGAATTAACTATATTTTTGAATTAATAAGAAGGAAAAGAAATTTTATATGAAACGTTTTAATAATAAATAAGATTATTTTACAGATTTATATTAATTTGAAAATAAGAAAATAATTACAATAAAAACAAAGTCTTATAACAGATATATAGCAATTTCTAATCTAAGTATTGATATAAAAAATGATTTATATTAAATGTATATTTGAATCAACAAATTAAAACATCAATTATTATTACATTTTCAATGTTTGAAAATTAAAAAATTAATTAGTAACCATATAAAAAAGATGAATTATAAAATACATCTTTTTTGCCAAGTAACTTTAATTTAATATTATCAATAAATCGTTTAATTTTATTTAATTATATTATAATAAAGTTCTTTGTGAATTATTGGAATAGTTGAAAATATAGTTTTCATTTTTAATTTGAAAAATATTTTTTTATTTATTCTTCATTTACAAATATATTTTATTTAAATAAATATAATTCTATTTAACTATAAATTAATATAAATGATTAATATAAACGAAATAAACCAATATAAAATGAATTTTTTTTTTTATAAAATAAAAATATTTAAATTATAATAATATTTAAATTATTTAAACATATATGAAATTATATTTATAATTTATGTAATCTTTATGATGTATTTATATTAAAGGAGAACAAAAAGTCAATTAGTTAATTTTTTATACTAAAATGTTAATTGAATTAGATAAATGCTGATCGTTTCCTTATTCTTTAATCAAATAATAAAATATAGATATTAAACATATTAATTTAACTAAAATAAATAAATAAATAAACATACACTAGAACCCCACTAATGAAGACCCACTGAATAGAAAATAATGAAAGTTGGCAAATTTATTTACTATATATTATTCGATATTATCGTTTGCTCTTGTATAATATCGTCGTAGCAAAATTATCCGTACTCTAAGTGTAACTAATTAATGAAAATAAAAATACATCAAAATTAATTTTGAATACATAAAATCTCAAATAAATTGATAATTCTCTTATGTATATGTTTTCATGTAGTATAGCGTTATTTTTCTAATCTTTTTTGTCTCTGTTAATAATTGATTTTGCATTTATTGATAAGATATAACCGCAGATGTTATGTAGACAATTCATGGGAAGCGTCTAGTACTTCATCATAATATATTGTATATATATATTTACAATTTTTTACAGAAAATCTTATTTCTGACAATTAGTATATTTTTATACTATTACGATAATTAAATAAATAAATCTTTCACTTTGGCTTCAGATATTTGTATAGTTCCCTTAAATTCATCATCAAAATTTATATTATTAATAAATACATAAAATTGCATGTATTTGAAACTTCAATAGTTATCCATTATTTAAAAATGACGACAATAAACAAAAAGATAAATTACTAAATGTAGAGAAGAGATATATCATGTAATTTTAGTGACTTATCTTGATCACATATCTTTATACATGATCGATACAAATCACTAAAATTACGTGAGCACGTGACCAAAAAACTTCCTCTTTATCCTCACTCAACTTAAAAAGTTCTTCTATTCAAGCTTGTCATATCATAATTTGCTTATCTATGTACTCTGAATTATAATATAAATTTTCTTTAGATTATATTTTGGAGTGCTACATTCCACAGCACATGCATCATTTGTTCTGCGACCGTGCTTACGCGTGTGCAATAAATTTTTATTTTTAAATCAAATTTTAACCTTCTATTATTGTTATGTGTGACATAAATGATGGGGAACTGGATGAAATTAAGAAAGAAGTAGAAATAATAGGTCCCTCAAATGTCGATGGCGAAAGTCAGTTGTAAGAATTTCAACTAATCTAATGACTGCTTACATTTTAATATTGTTTTTTTTTTACAATTTTTAAGCTTTATTATCAATTGTTAAGCTTAAGTCTAATTTTTGTATAACATTTTTTCGGGGAATATGATTTTAAAAAAGTAAAAATTTGAACGAATCTTGAATATCAAAAATGTAACTAAAATTTAAAAATTATTTATTAATAAAATTTCAATTTTTTGTAATTATTTGCAATTTTTAGAACTTTATATTTATCAATTTCAATTAAGTGAACACATTTAAATCGAGATATTTTTTTAATATTCCTTTTATATTCTCGTCACTTTTACCTGTAAATTAAAGTAAAATAAGAGTCTTAACAATACGAGTAATAATTATCTGTTGGATTATTTATATATTCATCAAATGTATATAATTTCTAATGACATTTCTATCAATATATTTATGATTTAAAATTCAATTTTAGCCCAATGAAATAAATGCATAACTACATCAATTGATAATTAAACTAATAAATTGATTATCTATTGAATTTGTATCTATCAATTCAAATTAGATGAAATCGGCACACTTTGCGTGCAATGCAATTTATTTATATGTTTAATTGTATTTAAGTGTATTTGACTGTATTTAAGGAAATAAATACTTGTTTCTCCTTATAGAAATAGTAATTTTAATAACTGTAATTCACTATTAATGTAATATAATGCATAACAATGTTCAGAATTTGTAGTATTATCAACAAAAAAAATTATTGTCAAAGTTTCGAATTATAATTCAATTATACTAGTTAAATAATTTTGTTATTCAAAAGATTTTATCTAAAAGTTTCCAATAACTGCTTTATTATTTTTTATTTATATTCTAAGAAAATAAAAGTTTATTTTATCATAAATAAATTGTATTATATATATATATATATATATAACTAGAATCAAATTATAAACTATATTATTTACATAAAAGAAACTTTATTTAAAAAAAAAACTTTAACAATTGCAAACTTTATTTTAATAATTGTTTTTATAGTGAAATATTCCACATGAATTAAAACATTTTAATATCCTTGATATCATAGATTCAATAGATTACTTAAGCTTTGTTATCGTTTAAAATTAATATTAGGAATATTTGTTTACATTTTAAAGATGCATAGGTATTTGATTATTAATAAATAAAGTTTACTAAAAAAATTATTGTTTAGTATTAAGTTTCAGAAATTACCTTAGAATTCATGATTTTAAAGTTTATATTATTATAATATAAATATATATTATATTATTATATTATTATAAGATATAATCATATAAAAATTAAATTATAGCCGTGTTAAATAATATTAATATGTATTATAAGTCATTGTTATTATTAACAATATTATTTATGTCAAAACGAAATATTTTTAGTAAATTTTAATCTAGTCTAGTTTTTAGGCAATTTAAACAGTTTATATAATTAAATATAATACATATAATTAAATATATTTTAATTTTTATATTGAAATAAAATACGATCATTTTGAATATGATTTATTCATTTAAATACAAGTCAATATATCTATATCAATATAGTTATTTATATTAATACATACTTCATATTATATAAATAGTTTTCATTATATTCATGCATTGTAATAAAACTTTAATATAAGTTTTATTACTTTATAGCATTAAAATTAATAATATTTTAAATTAGTTGTTAAAATTATATATATATATATATATATATATATATATATATATATTTTTTTTTTAATAAAAATATATTATTATATAATAATTATGTATATTGATTTCAGATAATAAGATCAACACCTATGTATTTTAAATAATTCTTTTTAACAAAAACGATATTCAAATTTAAGTGAATTGCCCTATTTTATTTGTATATTATCATTTTCATTTGAATGAGTAGTAATAGACTATATTTTTAATATTTTTTTACAATTTTTATTATTTGTCTTATTTATTTATTTATTTTTGTTATTTAAACTAAAATCATTGGGAATAATAAATTAATTCGAAATTGAAAACTGATTGTATAGATAATGTTTAGAAAATTTATTATTTAATAAAATTTTGAATTTTTTATAATGTCAAAATAAAAAAAATTGGAAACTTTTTTAATAATCTTTTATACTCATTATTAATATTAAAAAATTGGTATTACAAGATTTAGACAAATTTATTTGCAAAAGTATTCAACAGTTTATCTTCGTTTTTAAATAGAAAAGAATTACATGGGTCAAACGATATATCGAAAAATGCTGATTCAAAGAATGGACATTGGAATATGAACAATAAAAAAAAAAGCATATTGATTACTCGTGAACGGTAAGAAATATGATAATAGGAGGTAAAACAAATTAAATGAGATGTATAAAACGATGTAATAGATTTTTATAATTTAAAATTTTTTAAATTGTGCAATGTATACAAAAAAAGCATAAAATAATTATAGAGTAATAAGATTTATTTATTAATGATCCAGTACACTTGTTATTCTTTAACCATTGATCACGAGTAAAGAATTTATGTCGTTGATACTTTATTTTAATAGTATATTATTTTAGCACAGTGAGCTTAAGGAATAATTCCATTAATGTTAAGCACTGCTACATTGATTTAATTTTTCAATAAATTATTATTACATTCCTATATTATAAAGAATTTACTTAATAATATATACTTTCATAAAAAATTCTTTATTATACTGCATCATTCGGTTTGTAGCTTATATTCTGTATAAAAAAAATGGTATTCGATGTTTTATATCGAGAGAAAAATTTGTTCAATGATCACGAAAATTATTTTCAAATATATTTTCATTTCTATATGTTGACATTAAATGTTTATTAAATTAAATTAAATGTATTATTATTATTATTATTATTATTATTATTATTATTATTATTATTATTATTATTATTACTATTATTATTTATGTTCTTATTGTTGGGTGATTAAATTATTATTGTTAATTACTTCTGGTTATTTAAAAGTAATCTATACTCTTGGTTTTTATTTAAGATTCAATGAATATGTACACATTCTATATTGATAATTATTATCAAAGCTGCCGCATTATAATTGTTACTATATAATATGTGATAGCTAGAACGTGAGTACTTAAGATTGAAATATTTTTGACAGATTTCATACGACTAATGAATGTGACCGTCAAGTTAGGATGCATTTACATTCATTCTCTAATGTGCTGTTGCAAGTTTATATAACACTACTATTCTAATGTCATGAAAGGATTTACTTTCTAATTAATAATTATAGTGAGTAAATAAGACAGAGTATAACTGTTTATCACTCACGAGCGAAGAACGCCTCCTAGTAGAGTCACTATTGTTTTTATACAGCCAATTGTAAAATTGTGAGTAGATTCTCAAAATCACTAATATTTTGACATTATTGAAAGTAGGAATAAAAATACAGTTGACATTCCTTGATAGTGGTCATTCTTGATTGTTCTTTATAGTAATAACAGCATGTTAGCGGTCACGTTACGGTCATATTTCATTTCAATTTTGACTAGCGAGTCAAATTTTTCCCTATATCGAAAGAATTCTATAATAATAAATTCAACTGAATAAATCGATGGTTTATTTATTTAATAATCTTATTTGTTTGTATTAATATTATTCTATTTCAGGAAACTAATATTTGAATTATTTTATACTTAATGCAGTTTTGTATATGTTTCACTGTTGACACTTTACAGTTTCACTGTAAACTATGAAAATTTTTACTTTAAGACTGAGAAGAAAATTTTTTTATTCAAATTTTTACAATAAAAAACACATTTCATTATTCCACAGTAGCTGTTTAGTTGTATATTAATTACGTTAAATAATTAAAATGTATCAAATTTGACTTATAAATGCACAAATATTTATTTTTAGTTTACAGAAACAAATTAAGAAAATGGAAAAAATTAAGAGAAAAGTTGGAATAATGATTCTGGTGGGTTTATTGTGCTTTATTTTTGGAATAAGTGTTGGGATTCTTTGGCCATCTTTGTACAAAAGTATTTTAACAAAGGTAATGCATTCATTTAGCTTCAGTAATATGCATATATATATATATATATATAAATAAATTATTTTTTATGTTTAATATTATTTTTTTAGTTTTCAACCTACATTTTTTGTAAAGATCAAATATTAAAATAAATTAACTTTTAATTTTATTTAAAATTTTGAATTCTGTTATTAATTGATATTTGTATTAGTTGTAATAACTTGCATTAGTTTTAATACAGCATATAATTTGTTTTATAGGAAATAGTTTTATCACCAAATTCTACAAGTTTTCTTATGTGGAAAAAAACACCTATACCAATGTATTTGAAAATATATCTATATAACTGGACAAATCATGCTAATATTGGAGAAAAGCCACATTTTGTTCAAATGGGACCTTATGTTTTTAGGTAATATAACTGATTTAAAGAAAAATATATTTAAATTATAATATAAAATAGATTTATGTAAGTAACAAAAGTTTATATTGATAAGTATGATTTTTGAAATATTAAACTGAACTCCAGATGAAATTAAAAAATATATTTTCTTAAAATTTTTTATGTTTAATATGAATTTAAGTTATAAGACAAACAAAACAAATGAAATGTATATAATATAAGCAATATTAGTTTAAAATAACAAATTTTTTTTAAATATTTCAAATATTGCTGAAAAACTTTAATTTATTCTGATAATTATAACTGTTACAATATATCATTTTTAAAGAGATATATGGTTAAATGAATTTTAAATAATTTATAATATTATTAATATATAGAGGATTTTTAATTCTTTTTTAATTTAAAGTTTAAACAAAAAGCTATAAAAGCACTGATAAATATAGAAATTATAGTGATGATAAATAAATATTTTTTTAAATACAAAAATTTTATACATAAATGTAAATTATTTATTATTTTGATACATTATAATATTTAATTAAAGTCACAGGTATTTTATAAATAATTAATTTAAATCAAATTGATAATGAAAATGTCTATTATATTATTAGTAGATGTAAAATTCTTCGAATGAATTTTTATATTCTAAAAAGTAAAATAGAAGGTAAAAATAGACAATATTTTTAATATAAATTCTTTCAAAATTATGGAAATGTTTAATATTAAATATTATAAAAATTCAATAATTTAAAAATTTAATTAAATTAGGGAGGTAGATTATAAAGTAAACCAGAAATGGAATAAAAACAATGGAACTATATCATTTCAACAGAAACGAGTATGGTACTTTTTATCATCAATGTCAAATGGATCATTAACAGACAATGTGACAAATTTAAATCCTATTGCTGCAGTAAATAATTATTTTTTAAATTATTTAAAAAATATTAGAATAATCGTTATATCAATTATTGTTATCTATTAAATATATTGTTTTAGACAATAGCATATTCAGTTAGACATAGAAATAAAATAGTAAAAATGTTTATAAATAAGGCATTGCAGAAACTTGAAACAATAGTTATTACAAAATCAGTAAAAGACATATTATTTGATGGCTATGATGATGTATTATTAAAAGTTGTTGTAGATTTAAATATAACTAAACTACCTTTTGACAAATTTGCTTGGTTTTATGGTGTAAGTAATAATTATAATTTTTGTGAATTGAAACTTAATGTTATAATAATGTATTTATAATATAAAATATATTTAAATAACGATCATGTTGAAGATATAATTAATTATATATTCTAGCAATTTTTGACTGCTCGATAGATTAAAATTTATTATATAAGTTCACTTTTCATAAACTGAATTAATGTTATTTTTGTTCAAAATTAAAAAAAAAAAAAGATAATGAAATGAATTTCATTTATACAAAATTAATAATTTTCTTTTGAAGAAATAAATTTGTTAATATTAATATAAATCAATATGTCGTAATTTGTAATTATCAAAGAAAAATTTTATATTAATTTAATGAATGTATTGTAAAACTATTTTAAAACTGTATAAAAAGAAATAAAAAATTAATTAATTTGATTTTAATAGCGCAATGGTTCGGAATCTTATGATGGAACATTTAATATGTTGACTGGATTTGATAATATATATGATATCGGAATTATAAAGTCATGGAAATATAATATTATTTCTCCATATTATTCCAAATCTTGTGGTATTTTACAAGGAACTAATGGAGATTTATGGCCTCCCCTACTTAATAATAAAACTGTTTCATTATTTTCCCCTGATGTTTGCACGTAAGCATATGAATGTCAATATTTGTATATAAACGAAATTTTATAATTAACTACATTCTTTTTTATTTTACTCTAGAATGTTATCTTTAAAATCAAATGGTAATAGTGAATGGTTAGGTTTAACAGGTACTAAATTTATATCAGATGAAGATATGTTTGATAACGGAACAAAAGTGGAATCTAAAAAATGTTATTGCGAAGGTGTGGATTGTCAACCTAGTGGAGTATTAAATATTTCATTATGTAAATTTGGTGCTCCTGCTTTCATTAGCTTACCACATTTTTATCTGGCTGATGAAAGTTACAGATACAATATTAGTGGAATGAATCCTAATAAAAAGGATCACGAATTTATTTTAGTTATACAACCGGTAAATAACATAACATATTCGTATTTAATACATGTAGATTGTTCATAAAAGTGAATTTTATAATTCGTAGGTAAAGAAACTTTAATTTTTATAATAAAAATTTTAATTGATTTAAAAATATTTGAAGACTATATAATTTTTTATGTATTTTATATATTTTTTATATATTTTATATAATTTTATACATAATTTTAATAATGATAAAAAAAAAATTGATCAAAATTCATGACTAAAAATTATTTATTAATATGTAATTAGTAATTTTTTTTATTTATTTTATCTTAGAAATTAAGGGAAAAATATATATATTATACGTTTTTTTAGGATACTGGAATTCCAATGCAAGTAAGGGCTGCTTTGCAAATTAACTTTTTAGTACAACCAGATCAAGGCTTATCGTGAGTTTTAATTCCATTATAAAATTGTATTACAATCTTAAAATATTTAATAAATAAAAAACATTATTATTTTAGTTATTTTAAAGATATGCCAAAGATGTACATACCAATGTTATGGTTTACACAAGAAGTAAACTTATCATCTGAATACGCAAGTCAAGTAAAACTTTTATTAATGTTACCTATACTTGGAACTGGAATTTTATTTTTTATTGCATCAGTTGGACTATTATTAATTATTATTTCAATCATCATGTATCTTAAACAAAGATTAAAATATAATGAAAATGAGAATCTGATACCAAAGGAAAATGGAAGAGAAACAATTGCTAATAATGAGGGATGATAGTTTTATTCTATTTAAAGAAACTGAATTACACTTTTAGTATCAATTGATGGATTATTATTATAATATAAATATGATACATATGGTCTAATTGAGAAATGGTTATAATACTTAAGTGCCTAGACATTTTTGTCAAGGATAATAATGTTTACAGATTCAAAGTTTAAATCTAAAGTTTAAAATATTTGTAAATATACATATCCATAAATTTATAATATTTGTTTTTATAAAATTTACAAGCAAATGTGCAGACAGGTATATATATAAACATTTTTATATTTTAAGTAACAGCTATTTGTATAAAATATTTTACTAATATTTATATCGATATTCAACATTTGTTCATTGAATTAAATCTTATATTTAAATGTTTATTATTTTATACTTAAGAACACTAATATTTTAAGAGTTAACTAAATGATAGGTCGTAGGTTCATAAATTTTTAGATAAATAACTTTTATCAAATATGACCGAAAGTGCGAATATTTGATACTAAATATTGTTGTAGATATAACTTTTTATATGAACTATGTCATTTTTAAGAAATAACATGTTTGTAAAGAAATTGTAATTGATTCCTTTTATATTGGAGCTATATTTAATACATCAGTATAGACTAATATTATACTTAAGTAGATATTACAAAAGAAACAATTTTATAACTTAAAATTTTGTACCTTTGTTGAGTATCATGTTAGAAAAAGACTGTGATAGTGTATTAAGCGATTGATTGCTAAATGTCATTTCTTTCCGTTTTTTAAAGAGCTTAATGAATGGGAAAAGCAATAATAACAATCTAAGAAAATTAAATTTTTATTATATTTTATTTCTTGATGTTAAAAATTTTATTAAAAATATACAAAAAATTGAAAAAATGTTTAAGTTTTAATACAATTGGTGTAATATTTAATATTTAAAACGCTGAGTGAACGTGTTTTTTTCTGAAGCTTTTTTTTAATTTATCCATTTTAAGCTATATTGCTTTGGCTTTTTTTTCAATTGTAAGATAGATTACCTAAACATGTAAAAAGGGTTTCTCATTGCTACTTTCAACTAATTTAGTACAACAAATTTTCAGTAAAAAAAGTATATTATTACAAATTTGTTTAACTGTAACTATTAAAATAAATTATACATTATTACTACTTTGATTTTTTATTCTCGATTTTTTATGTAAATTTAAAATTTCGTTTTTAGGATTTTCCTTCTATCAATTATTACAAATATAAATTTTAATATTTATCAAATCGATAGAAACTTTATGTTAATATATATAATTTAATATTAAAAAAATTCTGTAAAATTCAAAGATTATAAATTTGAATTTTTAAACATATTTTACTAACTTTTTGAATTGTACGACCCTAACTTATTGTAATTAATGTAAATGCTAATAAACATTTTAATGTGCATTCATTAATTAAAAAAAAATATATATATAGAAATATTATTCAATTACATAGTCATGTAATTATTATTATTTATAAAAAATTGTTATCAATTTATTAATAAACTTCCAATATTTTTCATCGCTTTTCAGAGATGTAGAAAGGTATTAATTTTATATTTGATATATTTGATGAAATAAATTATTGTTATGAATATATATTTTATTTGTATTAAAATAAATAATTATGAAATTAAATTAATTTAATTGCTTTACTTTCTATTTTGAAGTGTTTTATAAGCTATATTTAATATACATTATTATTTGTGCGTTCATTATAATTTGATCATTGTTTGATTTTATATTCATATGATCCATATTTTATGATTCAATGAATACTAATGTTTTCATATAAATTTATATAAAAAAAAGATCATATATTTATGAAAACTTCTATTTGATTAGTATCTTCAGTATGTTTATTATTAGTATGTTAATTAGTAAATATAATTATAGATATATTTAGTACTAATTAGGGAATTTAGTGTTTATTATTCTAAGTATAATTAAATTTAAAATGTTTAAAATGTTTTATTAATGAATAATTCACTTCGAAATATATAAGTTTAAGTATTGAGTCAAGAATAAATTGTAATATTCTATAATAATTAATAAATTATATGATGTTGATAAATATCAGATTAATCCATCTTTGAAATTCATTTATCTCATGTCTGTTAAATATTCTGTTAATTTAGTTATATTATTTTTCAGATTAAGATTTCAATTGTATTTATGTAAGATTTATGTAAGTAACTTTATTGAAGTTTTTTATTTTTATACAAATTGTAAAGTTAATATACATATAATGTATTTGTAGTAAATAGCAATTGTATACAACATGTATAAATAATAATTATATGAAAAGATGTATTAAATTGAGGGACAATTAATTAGTAATATAATTTATATTGAGAATTACATAATTATATATATTTTTATGTGATTTTAAAATTATAATATACTCGTATACAAAATTGAAAAATCTAATAATAAATATTTTTCTAGAATGGTGAAATAAATTATAACAACTTCATCATCTATATTAATTTCAATTTCAATAATCTAATAATATATTTGAGATAAATTCAGATTTTAGTGTGAATATTCATTTATTCATATGTGCGTTTACTAAATCGCATATGAATATACATGTATGTAGTGGGGCAGAGGGTATCGAAAATAAAAAAAATAAATATTGATAGGCGAAGTTAAATTAAATATAACTTACAAAGATATAATTGTCCGTTCATTTTATATTTTGATATTCATATCTAGAAATCAATAAACAACATTAGCCCATAATAAATTATGTAGAGAATAAACACTTAATATAGTCAGCGAAAACTAATGAAGTTTCCATTTTTTTTTTCACCAAAGGATTATTAAAATCATGAAAAAAATATGGTTGATTTTAATTATATATGAATAATTTATTAAGTTCCATGTAAGCAATTTATTACATAATTCGAATTGCTAATATTCTTCTGATCCATAGAAGTTTAAATTTTCTTTTATGTTAGTACTATATCAACAGGACACAGGCGTTGCATAGTCAGTACATATATCTGCTTTACACGAAAATAGTATTGGAAAACCATAAATTCTACTATACGTTTTTTACAAAAGAATTATAAAAATAAAAGATTTTTCATATGAAGATTAGATTATTTTTCTGGTTTATGATTTTAAAATATTAAGTGAACTGTAAAAAACAATATTTGACTATTATATTACGAATCTAGAACTAACTAGTTACAAACTATTACTATCTAATAATATTTATTTATAATGCTAAATCGTCGATTTTTAAACAAAATTTTTAATATAATAAAATAATTGTTTACATTGAAATATGAACATTATTTTACAATACTTTTTATTTATAATACTTGAGATTTTTTGCCAAGTTATGTATGTGCAACTTTATTTATTTGTTTATTTTTATTATTAACACAAATAAGTTAAAATTAAGAAAGATATATGAAAAAATGATTTTCGTATTATATAATATAATTTTATTTTTATTATTTATATTTTATTTTTAAATAATATATTTTTATATCTACATTATTATTTTCAAAATTCAAAGTTAAATCATGCTGATATAAATTAAGCGAATACTTCAAGAGACATAAACTTCAAAAGTAATTCAAGTAGCGCTGATCTTCGTGAATAGATATATCGTGTTTCATTGTTTCGGTTTGGTTACGTAGAAGTTTCGTTAAATTTTCTCTTTCGTACCAGAGCTCCGTTTTTGTTGTTTATTCTTTCTTATCTAGTATATCAATTTATCTTGGTAGACAATTTAGAAGTCATGTTTTCTTTCAGATAAAATATACAATTTCAATGGTTTCCACGAAACTTTCAAATACGTTTTTCGAATGTTTTGAGTGTATTTATATATTTACTATATAATCGAAAATGATAATGAACTCTTCTTGTAATTAATACGAAAATAAAAGTACTTTACTTATATTGTTTTTTAATCACCAAATATTTTACAAAGAATATTACTAGTTACAATATGAATATATTATTAAAATTGAATTGGTTTATTAAGGGTATTGAAACTAAAGTTTGTATATATTTGTCGATTGATCGAATATTACAATAATTATATAACGATTAAAAAGCAAATATTTGGTAAATAATTTATTATAGTTTCAATTTTGTGTATTTTTTTAATCTATCCAATAGGATTTTATAAATTAATATTTTAGTAAATTTATTCAAGATTTACAACTAGAAAATATATTGTTTAAATATTTATGATATGGTTTAATACGAGTCTTAAATAAAGTTTTTTAAGTATGTATTAACAATAAGTAGTATTAAAATACACACGTACATAATTTATATATATATATATATATATATATATATATATATTTGAGAGTTTATTTAAAACAAAATTTTTAATTACACAGAAATTTATATTTTAATATAGAATATAAAATTATGCATTAAGGAGATGTAATAAAAATATACTTTATGAAATTAGATTTAATAAATCTAAGAAAGATAAATTGTAATATAAAATATAATATATATTTCAAAGTATATAAAGCAACCACGTAGGTATGGTAGTTCGGCTGGAAGAAGAACGTACCATGAAAACGAAGATACCCATATCAGTTTTTGGTTCAACATTCTGCATTTCTCTTTTCTCGGCAACCTTCTTATTTTTTAAATTAATTTATTATCTAGTATCTAATTATTTACGTTCATTGAAAAACTTTACTAAGCCTGAAATATGATGATTGTGTCACTACCCAAAAGTTCAATTTACTTTTAATTTCCTCTTGATTTCCTTTGAGTAACAATAAAAATATTAAATATGTAATTAAGAAATGAATAATAAATAATAAAACAACGATTATTTATACGATATATTTTTTAAGCATGTTAAATGAAATAAAAATATCGATGAATATATTTTCGTGAATTAGTGATGTTATTTATGACACATAAGAGAAAATACCTTATTTCAGATTCGTATCGTGGTACAAAAATAACTCGAAGAAAGTGTATGAATTGGCAATCTAGCTGGAAATATAATTCATCTTAAAATCAGAAGGATCAGATTTTAATTTTTAATTAAGAAAATCGTCATTGCTTTTGTTCAGTTCACCGTTTGGCGACTTACTGATTTATTATTATTGTGTCTTATAAACACATTTTATATAAATAATTCTTATAAATTTCTTTTAAATTTCTTATAAATT